AATACACTGTAAATTACAGGGTCATCAGTTGACACGTTTTGGTGACGGCATTTCCGCCGGGGGTCGGGGGTGGGTCGGGGGTGGGTCGTCGGCAGCGGGGGCGGTCCCATAACCTTCGGTTAGGACCGAAGGCCTCCGGCAAGGACACGGGCCCGTGGCCGGCGCCCGGATTTAAAGGCTTACGCCTGACAGCCGGGCGCCGGCCAGCTTGTGGCTGTGCTGGGCCGAGCACGGGGGCTGGGACGTGGGCATCCTTCCTTCCAAGGGAAGGGGGCTGACTGCCCTGGCTTCTGTGACTAGAAGCCGAAAGTCGGGAGAGCCGTGACACCTCATTTCAAACTCTGTTTGCATTGGCTGGCAGCTTTTGAGCTCACATGGGAGCCGTCCGTAAAAGCAGGTCACAAATTTATGAATTGATGCGTTTACTTTGCTTTGCGCGATTGCTAAAACCTGCATCGCGATAGGCTGAGCGATTGGTTGGCGATTGGTTATACGGCTACCACCCTATTACTACTACTACTATACTAGTACTAGTACTAGTACTAGTACTACTACTACTACTACTACTTTTACTACTAGTACTGCTACTAGTACTGCTACTAGTACTGCTACTACTACTACTACTACTACGACTACTACGACTACTACGACTACTACGACTACTACTACTACTACTACGACTACTACGACTACTACGACTACTACGACTACTACGACTACTACGACTACTACTACTACTACGACGACGACGACTACTACTACTACTACTACTACTACTTTCGAGACCAGAACCATGCCAATAATTGACATCCATCCATCCATCCATCCATCCACCTCAGCTCTTATCATTGCTACTTCTACTATTACTATTACTACTATTACTTCTTCTTCACTCCTCCTCCTCCTCCTACTACTACTACTACTAGTAGCACTAGTACTAGTATTTGGGGCACTAGTAATGATATTACTTTGACGATCACTAAAACTGTTCCTAGTTTGATTGCCCGTGCTGATTTTTTTGAAGTTGAAGAAGACTCCGGGAAAGGTCAGAAACAGGTCAGAAACAGGTCAGAAACACCAAAAAGGCAGCACTTGCCTAGCATCCATCCATCCATCCATCCATCCATCCATCCATCCATCCATCCACCTCAGCTCTTATCATTGCTACTTCTACTATTACTATTATTACTATTACTACTATTACTACTATTACTACTATTACTACTATTACTACTATTACTACTATTACTACTATTACTACTATTACTACTATTACTACTATTACCACTATTACTACTTCTACTACTACGACTACTACTACTACTACTACTACTACTACTCGTACTACTTTTACTACTAGTACTGCTAGTACTACTACTACTACTACGACGACGACTACTACTACTACTTCTACTACTACTACTACTACTACTAGTACGAGTACGACGACTACTACTACTACTACTGCTACTACTACTACTACTAATACTACTACTACTTCTACTACTACTACTACTACTACTAGTACGAGTACGACGACTACTACTACTACTGCTACTACTACTACTACTACTTTCGAGACCAGAACCATGCCAATAATTGACATGGCCGCGCGGATTCCGCGCGCGCGGAATCCGCGCAGATGTTTTCAGGTCAGAAGGACATTCAAGCTAGCTCCAATTGAAAACAGGTCAGAAACAGGTCAGAAACAGGTCAGAAACACCAAAAAGGCAGCACTTGGCTAGCATCCCATCCATCCATCCAACCACCTCAGCTCTTATCATTGCTACTAATACTACTACTACTACTCCTGCTACTACTACTACTGCTACTACTACTGCTACTACTGCTACTATACTACTACTACTACTACTACTCCTACTCCTACTCCTACTCCTACTTCTACTCCTACTCCTACTCCAAACGCAACCTCTCTCTCTCTCTCCCTTGCCTATTCCCTCACCCTCCTACCAGAACTCCTACGCCTACTCCTATTCCAATTTCCACTACCACTACGGCTAGTGCTACTGCTACTGCTAGTGCACTGTGAGTTTTCCGGACCGTTTCCGGACCGCACAAGCTTATTTTGCTCCCAAATTTGAAATCGAATGCGTTCACGCATGGATCCTTACTCTCATTACTAGATTTGCTACTACCCCCAGCACTACCACCACGCCCGCTGCTACTGCACCACCCTGCACCACCACTACCACCACTACCACTAGTACACCTAGGAATTTCTGCTCTTGCTTTTAAATCCAATTGCACTCGTGTGAAGGGTCAGAAACGAGTCAGAAACCAGTCAGAAACCAGTCAGAAACCCGTCAGAAACCCGTCAGAAACCGGCCAAACGCAATCTCTCTCTCTCTCTCCCTTGCCTATTCCCTCACCCTCCCATCAGAACTCTTACGCCTACTCCTATTGCAATTTCCACTACCACTACTGCTAGTGCTACTGCTACTGCTAGTCCTGCTGGTACTACTGTGAGTTTTCCGGACCGTTTCCGGACCGCGCAAGCTTATTTTGCTTCCAAATTTGAAACGAATGCGTTCACGCATGGATCCTTACTCCCACTACTAGATTTGCTACTACTCTTAGTACTACCACAACACCCGCTGCTACTGCACCACCACTACCACTAGTACACCTAGGAATTTCTGCTCTTGCTTTTAAATCCAATTGACACGAGTTCCGCTGAAGGGTCAGAAACGAGTCAGAAACCAGTCAGAAACCAGTCAGAAACCCGTCAGAAACCGGTCAAACGCAACCATTTGTTTCCCCCTCCCTCCCTCTCTCTCTCTCTCTTTCTCTCTTTCCCTCCCTCTCCCTTTCTTCCCTTGCCCTGCTACTAGAACTCCTTCTCCTATTCCTACTCCTACTCTTACCCCTCCTACTACTACTACTACTACTACGACTAGTACTACTACTACTACTAGTACTACTAGTACTACTAGTACTACTAGTACTACTGCTGCTGGTACTACTGTGAGTTTTCCGGACCGTTTCCGGACCGCGCGAGCTTATTTTGTTCCCAAATTTGAAATCGAATGCGTTCACGCATGGATCCTCATTATATAATACATAACTTATATTTTATGTATATGATTGATCAACGAAGAACAAACCCTTCCGCGATTGCTCACTGTGGTACCGCGGTTGCTACGCGATTGGCTGAGCGATTGAGGGCTGTCCGGGAAAAGGTATTTTGGACAACCCCCACATGTTGTTTCAGATGGACTTTCCGGCTGCAGCCATTTTGTCGAAATCGTGGCTATATCGACATGTATCGACAGGAATATAGATTTAGTAGGTGTCATGTCTGGAACACCTCCAAACTCGAGCGTTGCTCGTGCCAACATGCCACTGCGCAGCAGAGGCCTGCCACAACCTAGACAGAAAGAAAGAAATAGATTTCGCGGATACACACCGGCATGTATCTACAGCTACAGCGACGCATATAAGTGTCACGTATGCAACCTTTCCAGGCCAGAGCGTAGCTCAGGCTCAGAAGCTACCGCGCAGCAGAAGCTTCTCCCACAGAGCGACATGTCTCTACAGCAATATAGATGCAGTATGTGTCCTGGAAGGTACCTCTCCAAAGCAGAGCGTTGCGCATGCCAACATGCCACTGCGCAGCAGAGGCATGCCACAACCCAGAAAGAAATAAAGAAATAGATTTCGCGCATGCACACCGACATGCAGCTACAGCCACAGCGACGCATATACGTGGCACTTATGCAACCTTTCCAGGTCAGAGCGTAGCTCAGGCTAACAGGCGACTGCGCAGCAGAAGCCTGTCATACAGATCGACATGTATCTACAGCAAGTGCGATAGCATGCTTGTGTGTTACAGCTGTGCCCATTCAGGCTAACAGGCGACTGCGCAGCAGAAGCTTGTCATACAGATGGACATGTCTTTACAGCAATATAGATGTAGTATGTGTCATGGAAGTAACCCCTCCAAACCAGAGCGTTGCTCATGCCAACATGCCACTACGTAGCAGAGGCCTGCCACAATTAGAAAGACATAAAGAAAACGAGTTCGCACATGCACACCGACATGTCGCTACAGCCACAGCGACGCATAGAAGTGTCACGTCTGCAACCTTTCCAGGCCAGAGTGTAGCTCAGGCTAACAGGCGACTGCGCAGCAGAAGCGTGTCATACAGATCGACATGTCTCTACAGCAAGTGCGATAGCATGCTTTTGTGGTACAGCTGTGCCTAATTTTTTTTTGACCCGTACTGCCGAACGAGAGAGAGGGCTGTAGCTGTGCAAATTCGTTTGCAGCATTGTGCGTTGTGAGAGCTTGGATGCCACTGAGAGAGAGCCGTTTGTTTGCATGCACTGTGACAGACGGTTGCATTTGCAACCAAAGGTTAGTTGACGGCATTGCTGTGTGTGTGTTGCGGGGTCTGGTCCTCTCTCTTTGCCACTCTCTCTCTCTCTCTCTGTCTCTCTCTCCCGCGCTTGCTCCCGTTCTCGCTGTCGCTCTCTTTCTCTCTCTCTCTCTCTTTCTTTCTTTGGCTCCCTTCTTTCCTCGGTGTCTTCAGTCTCCGTCGCAGCGACGAGGTCTGCGGTCTCTCATGTCGCGTCTGTCACCCTGGTCGCTTCGAGGCTTTTGTCCTTTGAGTCTGTTCTGTCGCTCTCGCGCGCTTTCTCTCGCGCTGTCCGGTCGCGCTCGCCGTCTGTCCTTCGAGCAAGTGGGGTGACGGTGCAAAGGTGGAAGTTGAAAGAAGGAAAGCGGAAGACGTGTGACCGGTGGCTCGAGCAGAGCAACTTTTGCAGACGGAGTCTGACACAGCTACACAAACACACGAAGCACAAGGCCTGCAAGGAAAGACAAAGGGAGCAGCAGCAAAGAGAAGCAAGGGTTGGTGTAAAGCAAAGTTGGCAGCCGCAGAGAGTGAGCATAAAGACGTGTAACAGTTCTGGCCCCTTGCTGCTCCAAAGTGAGCAGCATGAGTCGCAGTGGACGCTCCTCGCTGAGCCATAGGCAGATGCACACGCACTGGAAACATCGCCTTCCGAGTTGGTGGATAGTCTGCAGTTGGTTCCTTGCCATCGGGAGTGCTCTGGTGTGTAGCTGTGCAAGCCGTGTGGATCTGTCGTTTTGCTTCAATCTCGGCTGTTGTGTGTTCAGCCTGCAGGCACTGCGTGCCTTGCGAGAAAGGTTGCCCCGACGAGGGTGGATCCAGAAGGGGCGGAAGGCAGGTGGCATGCGCATCAAGAAGCATCGTCGCCGAAAGGGATCCAAGGGTCGGTGGCAAGTCAGTGTCATGTTGTATTTGTGTGTCGTAGCCAGCAGTCGACAGACGGGGTGGTGCGTGTGGCCTTCTCTCGCAATACATGGTCACCAGTCCTGGTGCATCTCGCGGAAGGGGCGAAATCGTCGAATGCATGCAGTGAACGGCAATCCTGGTGCCGGCGCAGGAAAAAGAACCCGAAGAGCGCACGGCGCAGCCGAGCCAGCAGTCCAAGGGAATCCAACGCCAGAAAGCCAGCCTGTCGTTGAAGAGCCGGTCCTGAAAAGGGCGAAGGAAGCAGATGCACAGGAAAGCTTGCAAAACCGCATCGGAAGCAAGGTGGTGAAGGTACCTGGCGACGGATGGTGTTTCTTCTATGCCATAGGTCAGCATTGGAGAGGGTCGACCGGATGGAACCGCAAGACAGCTACGGAACTGTATTTGCAAGCGATGGAATGGTTGTTGCAAGCTCAGTACGGGCCTCAATCGGAGGCAGTGGCAGCAGCTTGTGTCCCTTTCAATCTCCGGGAAGAACAGGTGCATCAACGCTTTCTCGGGCAACAGCCAGTCGGCGTAGACACAGCGCAGCTGAGCACGACCGAACTGGTTTTGTGGAGTAAACTGCACGCACTGCTGCAGCAGCCCAGAATGTTAGACTCCATTCACCATGCCTCGGCAGGAGTGGAGATGTGGGCGTTGACGCAAGCATTTGCCTTCGAGTGCCTCATCTGGGGCAAGGAACTGAATGTCAACTATTGGGTGCGGACGATGGAAGGCATCACGGATGAGGAAGCCCATCAGAAGTTGCAGGCCCATGTCTACGTTTTGGAACTTGTTCACCGAGACATCGGCGTCACAGGGCTCTATGACTTAGTTGAGCGGTCTCAGGGCGTGGGGCAGCGATTTCCGGTCACCCCTTTGCTTCAAACGTTCCGTGCACAAGGGCCGGCAGCAGTGTTGCGCGAAGTGAAGCGTAGGAGGGAAGCGGCAATGCCACCATTGCCCGCACCTGGCAGGCCGCCGTCGCCCAGCGGGGACTGCCCAGGGGACCCAGAGGAAAGTGGAGATGCCAGCATGCGTGGTTGCAGTGCAGCTGACCCGCCAAGGAAGGAAGACGCTGAGAACGCCGTGCACAGTGAGGAGGATCCCTTGCCGCCGCAGTGGCCGCAGCCCGATGCTGAGCAGCAGGAGTCCGAGTCGGATGTCGCGGCAACCGAGCTGGACGTAGACAGTGTGCAATCTTGGGATTCCGAATCATCGGTATCATCGAATGACTTGGACCGGGGGCTGACGGTGGAACCTCACCGGACATGGAATACAGTTGAAGACGACAGGATGTCTGCCGTCAAAACTGTCGCCGCAGCAATGCGACAACACGTTCTTGTGCCTCCCGCCATACCAGGACATGATACAGCAGCTGGGACTCAAGAGGATGCCCTTGTGTTTCCAGCGGTCCACTGTGCCATGCAAGGATGTGACTGGTGCTCGGAGCAAGAGCCGTGTAATCCCAACTGGAGCAAGAAAACGCAGCGACGCGTGAGCGGGAAGCTGTGGGAAGAGCCGTGCCACAGCTGTTGTGCCGATGCCACAAAATGCCTTTGGGCACACCTGACGATCGCACATGCAGACCAATTCCTCGGCGGGACTCCAGCAGAACTCCCGGCAACGTACCGTGCCAGTCTTTTGGAAAGGGAAAGGGAATGTGTGCCAAGTGTGGGGTGGAGCACAGACCGTCGCACGTTTCGACGCTTTGCGAACAACTGCAAAGAAGATTGCCTTGAAGCCCTCATCTGTGCTTGCTGTACACGGATACATGTGGCAGCCAACGGCGGCGAAATTGGGTACATCAGTGTGGAAAAACTGTTCGACTCTCTGTCGAACGACAGCTTCACTGCGAATTGGTGCTACGAAACATACTCTGTCCGCTATGCCAACATCCCAGCCATTCAAACTCGGTTGGATCCAAGTGAATGGGTGCGGAAGCTGCCAGACGGCAAGCGCATCTTGTGCTGCCCGGAAGACATGCGCTGCGAGCTGTGTCCGCCAAATGCGGCGACTTTGTGTTGGAAGTGCCAGCTCCCCTTGTGTCGGTCCTGTCTGACGCGCATGACGCAGCAGGCCCATGCTTCAATCCCACAAGCCCTCACCAACGACAATTGGCTGGGTTATCCATGTGAGTTGCTGTACCAGTACAAGGTACGCTGGATTGAAGCCGCTGCCGCCTGCCCGGTGTGGACCTCGATTGTGTGCTTTTACCTCGAAAATGACCGCGGACATCTGATGGAAGAGGAGCTGCATCGAGCCGAGCATCGCGTGGCCGTCCGCGGCAACGTCAGCTCCTTCAGCATGCCCTGGGAAGAGGTCCTGGCCGCGCTCGATCCACTCCATCACGCGCACCGGACATGGGACACTTTGCCTCACAGTGTTGCAACGTTGCAAGCCTTAGTAAAAATTACTGTCAAGGGCATGAAATACAATGACGCAATCGACTGGGTGGCAGGGGCAAAAATCCGACCCTGGGTCGTAACGGCATTGCTGCAGCATCTGGTGGAGTTAAAGCATCCCATGGCGACGGTGCCACAGCCGACGAAATGAAACAAAAAATTGACAAGAAAGTCACGGCGGTCTACGGCACCACTGAATTTTGTCCCTTGAAAGAGGCCATGGCCGAGCCGAACACCATCAAGCCAGCAGCTCCAAGCCACTGCCACGCAGTTGGGCAGCGCGACAGCGTAGCTGACGCAAGCCCGGCTGCCACCAGCAAGGCAGATGCAAGCAGGACAGATGCGGAAAGCATACCACTCTCGAGCTTGCATGCAGAAGCAAGCGTCCACTCCGACCGGCGTCAGCCAGACACAGGTGAACTGAGGGGCGGCCAGCATCCATCTGAGAATTCTGCTGCCAGCGTGGCTGAACCTGCATTGCCTTCGAAACATGCCACCCCGGAAGTTCCAGCAACAACCGGTTGCACAGGGGAAGCTTTCAGTGGGAATGTACGCCCGAACATCATGTCCCAAGATTACACCAGCTCGCAAATTGCCGATCCGGATGTAGCCTTCATCAACAACCTCGCCACGACAACTCACGAACTTGGAGTGCAAACAGGCACTGCCTTCTGGGACCAGTGGCGAACAGATTTCTTGTACTGGGCTTTCCCATATAGTTTGCCAGCGCCGGTCAGCGGCCCAGACTTTCCACAGAAGGCGCAGTGCCGTCGAGTGACTGACGCGCCGCACTTCGGCCCCGTGCAGCACTTGAAACATTTGGCGAGCCGAGTGGAAAGCTCCATTCGCAATTCCTGGGATTTGGTGCCTGGTCTGCGGCGCATCACCGCCAAATGGAGCTCGGTGTGCGGCGGCACGTTGTGGCGCAGATGGCAGAGCCACAAGAAGACGATAGAGCCTATCCCAGTCGACGAATGGGTGCGAGCTGCAGAAGGGCTTTATAAAAAACTACAGCGCGGCACATACTTGTCCGCCGATGGGCGGGAACGCCCGATCCAGTATGACACCCGGAAGCTTATGTATGCCAACGGGTTAACTGCCCCTGAGAAGCAGTTGCTGAAGGATGTGCGCTCTATGCAAAGCACTGTCCCAGGAACCATCGAAGTGCGACGTCGCATTGGACGATATCTGTTTGGAGCCCGGGTGGAACTGGGAGAGCCCCTTTTCGTCACCATTTCGCCAACCATGCGACACAACAGTTTCACTTTGAAGTTGTCCAGGTACCGCGCAGCGGACCCTGGACGAGGAATGTGCCATCAACAGAACCAGCCTCCAGTGTGGGAAACCGGGGAGACCACTGCGCACATACCGGACTACGATGCTCGTCGGGAAGCCACTGCCAGAGACCCGTGGGCCGTTGTTTTGAGTTTCCAAACAGTGGTGCGTTTGATCTTTGCTCAACTCCTGGGCATACAAATGTGCTTTCGCTGTCCCAAGTGCGACTGCCGAGACGTGCATGGGTACAGCTGCCATCCGGCAGGAGGTGTCTTAGGCCTTGTTCGTGGAATTTGTGGTGACATTGAATATCAAAGCAATTCGACCCCGCACTTTCATTGCAACGTGTATCTGGCTTCCATTTGGCAGGAACCGCTCTCCGTCCTACTGGAGAAGATCGAAGCAAAAGACATTACCTTTGAAGACGTGCAACACTTCCAGAGTTGGATCCACAATGAACAACATCCGAACTTTCCCTCCCACTCCGAAAAAGTGCAGTACTACGAAGAACAATGGAAAGCCAATTATGCGAATGCCGAGCACGCCCATCTCTGCCAATGGCCAGCGTTTGTTCAAGCAGATACCGCCCCATGCCCGTGGCTGAGTCCAGTGAACGCAGAAGAAGCAAGAGCGGATGGAGCCCGGTATGTGGAGCAGTACCAGCACGCAGTGCAGCAGAAATTTTCCATGCAGCAGTGTCACTGGCACCCGTGGGATCCAAAATTGAAATGTCGCGTACCTTTGACGGGTTGTAAGAAAAAAGGGGCACCTAACAAATGCAAGCATGGCTTTCCAAAGGCAGTAATGCAGTTGCCCGTGTCATTTGCAGAGGTAATGCCCGAAAGTACCACGTCAGCACAAGGGGTCGCCGCAATGCGTTAGGCCTCTGTCTCGGGAAAAGGGAGGACCCGTGGCTCTCTGGCACCTTGAACGCATTTGCCGTTTTCCTGTTTGGTAACTCCCATACTGCCGTGAATTTTAGAGTGCCTTTATGTGCCACAACCCATGACGCGGAGTGCACCCGCAACTGCCTCGACACCAGCACACTTGCGAAGCTCCAACGAGTTATGCAGCAGGCGGCGCGCCGAGCAACGCAGTACTTCACTGGTTACCTGCAAAAACCACAGCCGGTGGGAAGAAAGGAATTGCAGCACACCGCAAAGCAGCTACACTTCCTTGCGACCAGTAATACAAAGGATCCAACCGGCAGCCACTACCGTAAGGTCGCTAGTCGAGTGTTTGGTGACCTAGAATTCCGCTGTTCGGTGCGGCCAATCACCGAGGAATTCATGCTTGCTGGCTTTGAAGACGATAGTGATCCAGCGGCTGCCGAATGCATTCGTAGCTTTCCCGTGGTGCCCTTTGTCGGAACTGAGTGGCTCACCCTTCTGGACCACAAAACAGAACATCGTCATAGGGTTCAAGCTGCATCCTGGAAGAGCACAGAAGTGAAATTTTCGGAGCTGTATGGCTGGCGCGGAACCGATCCAAGAGTCTATTACTTGTCTCCTTGGGAGTTTGTGAAATGGTGGCGCCTCAAAAAATTGCAGCCTCCAGCGGCCGACGGCACCGGAAACGAGTGTGGTCTCAGTGCATGGCTGCCCCACCACGACCCCAAGTGTGTTCCACAAGATGGTTGGAAATTCGGCCGGGACTATACTTGGCGCAGCCCCTTACCCGAGGGCGCGGCTGACCGAATTCTGCGTTTGCCCACGAAACCCCAGGCCGCGGAAGCCGCTGAATACTACTGTGAGCGCAATCTGGAACCATGCATACCATATCCCACGTGCCGTCCGTTGCCTCGACCAGATATGTCAGCCGAAGACCAGGCGCGCTTGTTGAATGTGTATTTGCGACCCTGGACCTTGGATGCTAGTACCGCAAGCTTGCATGTGCCACACATCGCTGCACTCGACCTGCCTTTCGATGCCAGAACTGCTACGAAGCCCAGCCGCCGCCTCACCACTAAAAGTAGTCCCACCCCCCGTAGTCATCAGGCCACATGGAAAGAATATATTCATGGCCACATAGTTTCCCACCATGCGGCAAGAACGATCCAAAATTTCCTGGCAGCAGCAGAGTGCTCTCCGGAAGAATCTGATCCAACAGCCAGCGGCGGCCTTCAGACAGGCCGAAGTGGACACTGCCTGGTTGGACGTCGTAACGCTGCAGAAATTAACCCAGGGCCAGGGGTTCGAATATTCGAAACCGCAGCGCAACAGATTCTGCAAACGTGGCAACCCGTCACTGCTGCAGACACCCACGGCTGGAGCACGACTGTTGGAATTCCTGAGTTGCCAACGATTGCTAGTGCGGAAGCACCGCGTAGCGGAGCACCGCCGTCTCAACCCCCAGCCTTGCAATGGACCTATGGATCTTTGAATGAACCCATGGCCACGGCGTGGCTGGAAAGATTGCAAGCGAACTCGGATGGCCCGAAACCGACCGAAGAACAAAGCCGCTTCGTACAGTCCATCATTGAGCGCTGTCTGCAAGAGCATCACGAAGAACAGACCGAAGCACGAACCCGAAGTGAACCTTGGAGGGGAATTTTCCATGGGGTACCCGGAGCAGGCAAAAGCCAAACCTTGAAGTGGCTACGGCAGTTTTTTGAGGACGTGTGTGGGTGGCAACATCCAACTGAGTTTGCGTACCTCGCACCGCAAAATACCCAAGCAGCACTCATTCAGGGCATGACCTTGCATGCGTTTGCCAACATCCGCGTGAAGAGCAAGCAGCAAACGAAAAGCCGCCACGACCCAGAGACTTTCGTCCAATATCAACGGCTACGGTGGCTTGTGGTAGACGAGTGCTCGACGGTTGGCTTGGAAATTCTTGCAACCCTGGAGAAAAATTGGTGCAAGCCACTCACTCCAAAAACACTTGGAAAGACAACCCCAAGGGCGAAGTGCGTCCCTTTGCAGGGCTGAATGTCATCCTGACCGGCGACTTCTGGCAGTTCCCGCCCGTCAAGGCGACAGCACTGTTCCAAAACCCGTTTGCAAAGGGGTATAGCTTTCAGGTGGCAGGGCTCCAACGCGTGCTGTGGTCGCGTCGCACGACCGGCCTGCCGCACTTGTTCGAAGTAACCATCGAACAACGCTGCATGGACCCATGGCTCAGTTACGTCCTGCAGCAGGCTCGCCACGGCAACATGTCCCAGGACACTTGGTGCTTCCTCCATGGCTTCCCCACTCGCCAGCCTGGGTCCTGGAATTTTGTCACCAACAGCTGCGAGTGTGGCACAGCCACGTGTCAGGAGTTGCTTGAAGCATGGGCAGAAGCACGACAGCAGCCGAGCTTGCCACAGACGTGGGACATTCGCCGAATGCAAGAGTGCAGCGCATGTGCCCTCCAACGCAGCCGCCGCTGCATGCTCGGGCGCGATCCAAAGAGCGCCAAGTTCGCAGCACGACCATTCATCCACGGCCTCAACGCAGCGAAATACGTGGCTGCAAATCTTCGCGCCCGCGAACTTGCAGCAGCCAACCAGGTCTGCATTCTTTGGGTGATCGCCGCTGATTCGCCTCTTTTTCACCTGGACACGGATTCCGTCACAGAACTCCAAGCACGGAAAAGCAACTGGCTGCAGCGGCATGACCAAGCCACCGGAGGCATCGTGGGTATGCTACCTTTGCTGCCGAACATGCCAGTGCGAATCACGCAGACCCTTCCAGAATTGAAACCGTTTGGCCTCTTCAAGAATACTCGCGGCACTCTACATAGTTGGACCTTGCACGAGCATGACAGCACCAGAGTCGCTGCCTACACGGGGCCAGAGATGATCTTGGAAAAATTGCCTTTGGCTCTATATGTTCAAATTCCGGGGGCGACATGGCAACAGCACCCGTCGCTGCCTGCCAGGGTCGCGTGCGTGAAACCCACCACGCAACATTGGAACCTGGACGCATCCGGGCGCACCACCATTGCTCGACGAGGGTTCCCAGTGGCATCAGACCTCTCAGGCACTGCCCACTCATTCATGGGTGCGACCTTGGACGCTTGCACCATCGATTTTGGCCCTTGGGACACTGCCCCGTCGCGAGACGCCCAACTCAGCGGGTATATGTGTCTGTCGCGAATCAAGCGAAGCGAGGATGTGTGCATCACCCAGCCTTTCTCGCCGAATCTCTTCACCAACGGCGAGCTGATATATAGGGCCACACACCTTCTTAGAATTCCATCGCGGCAGGCTGTCCCTGAAACAAGCCGAAGCGAGTTTCGCACGGGATCAACCGAAGAAGAAGCGGCACCCGGACATAATGCTCTTTTGCCGGCGGTGCAGTCCACGGAAACATGGCTCCGACCAACTGTTACCCTTGCGGGAGTTCGTCACCGTGTGGGATCGGGAGGCTTGGTACCAAATTCTCGCCCAAGGCATGGACCGGGTGTGCAAGCGTTGCTCCGCGGAGCCGGACGCACACCAAGCGGCAGACTCCAGGGACGATCCGAAGCTGTGCGCCTGGTGCGAAGCCACCAAGGCAACCAAAGTAGGCTTTTGTAAGACATATCTGGACACCAAAAAACTATCCTGTGCTCGATGTGATATCGGCAAGAAGATCGACACCAAAACCCTACACCACTTTAGCCCAGAGGAAGTCCGCCGCCGGAAACGAACCCGTGAACTACGACGTCTGCGCTGCAAAGCCTGTGAAGCCACGCCTGCTGCAGCCACGGCAAAGCAAGGCATCTGCATCCAATGCGACAAAGCCGTGAGTGTGTCCCACCTGCGCATGCACACGGCCGCAACCAATGCCGGTGTCTGTCGTGCTTGCAGAGCCAAAAATGAGAAAGCCCCAAAGACTTGTGTCCAGTGTGCCCAACCTTTGCACGCAAATGCAGCACCGGGCGCGTGGTGTAGCGATTGTGCATATCCAAAGTGCAATGGCTGCGGCGTCGCAGAGCGCCCAGGTCGCAACGCAAAATATCATGCCAAGAACAAGCCGGAATGGACTTGCCAAGCATGTTTTGCCAAAAAATGCCTCCAGTGCGGTGCAGTGCCTGGGAAGTACCAGAACTGGTGCGTGGAGTGTGCATTTCCACCTTGCAGTGGTGGGTGTGGGCAGGCCCGACCCAATAAAAACCCGGACTACCATGCGCGAAGCCAACCCGAGTGGTACTGTCACCAGTGTCGCGATGGTTATCCTCCGTGTCCAGGTTGCGGCACAGCGCGGCCAGACGACCGTGCGTACCACGTGACAAAGATGCCCGAGTGGACGTGTCAAAATTGTCAACCCAAAGCGTGCAGTCAGTGTGGTGCGGCTATGCACGGGAAAGCGGCAGCCGGCACTTGGTGTAACGCTTGTGCATATCCACCTTGTGCAGGTTGTGGTGCCGAGCGCCCTACAAGCAAGGGTTACCATGCAAGGGTAATGCCAGAATGGGCATGCCCAAGCTGCGCCATAAAATGCTGCGCAACCTGTGGGAAGGTCTTGGGTAGAAAAACCAGATCTGGGGCGCAGTGCCTCGACTGTAGCTTCCCACCCTGCAGTGCAGGCTGTGGTGCCCAACGCCCGGCCCAGAGCAGTTACTATAGGGTCCAGAATCTGCCGATCTGGGTATGTCCAAAGTGTCTGGCCACAAACCACGGTGACCAACCCTTCGAAACATTGGCCGCAGCAGTTCCCAAACGCAGACGCCTAAATGGCGACGACACAGTGTAGACCCGATTGTGTGACTGTGCAAGTAGATAGCGTGATCGTACCACTTTTGTTTTTTTGAAGCCATGTGCAGGTGGCAAGAAACCACCCGGAAAAGTTCCTTATACGCCATCGACGCTATGTGGGCCAGTTCACCCTCGTAGGCACGCGTAGCCTATGCCCTGTTTTCAGAGCCAAAATCCCGAAAATGTAATACCTTGTTTTCAGAGCCAAAATGCCAAAAATTGTACGATGCTATATAGATCAGCCAGTCAGATGTTTCGCCACATGAGACCTAATAACCCTTCGACGCTATGTGGGCCAGTTCACCCTCGTAGGCACGCGTAGCCTATACCCTGTTTTCAGAGCCAAAATCCCAAAAATGTAATACCTTGTTTTCAGAGCCAAAATGCCAAAAATGTACGATGCTATAGAGATCAGCCAGTCAGATGTTTCGCCACATGAGACCTAATAACCCTTCGGAGCCACGGATTGCTTGTTCATCTTTTCCAATGTTTGACCAAATGAGACCGCAGAAGCTGGACCATGGATTGTAGCCGCTCAAATCGATGGGACGAGCCGTCGTATTTGAACTCGAGTGTGGGATTGTGCCAACGTCCCCACCGGACCCAACCTCGCACACAGCGTAGCTGAGTGCAAGCAATGCAGGTCCCACTGTGACAGAGTGCAGGTCCCTGTGCAGGTCGCTCGGACGAAGCAGACCAACTGAGTGCGACAGAGACCAAAAGACCGAGTGCATGCAAACTGTTGCGTGTGTCGCTTGTGAGAGCCTGTCTTGTTCTGTTTCTTTTTCCCCGCTCTGGGAAAGGTCCTTGCGCCATCGAAGCTATGTGGGCCATGCACCCGCGTATGCATGCGTAGCCTATACCTTGTTTTCCGAGCCAAAATCCCAAAAATGTACGATGCTATATGTTATGTTACGATGCTATGAGGCGATATTGTTGCTGCGGCACACAGATACAGAATGTAGAGTATATACCCACCTGCTATATACATATAGCTGCCTACCAGAGAGAGAGATATATATACCCTAAGCGTCACTTACTTAGTTTAACTTCGTATTTGTTAATACTAAGTTTTACTAGGTGAAACTTCGTATTTATGAAATGCTATGTTTTACTCATTCCTGGATTTATTCATGAACCCACAGGCCGATCCATACCCCCGATCCATACCAAAATGCAGCTGATCCAGACCGATCCATCATGTCTCAAACATTGGCTCAAACCTTGCAAGCACCTGGCAATGAAGAAAGCCTTGAAGAGGCGTTGGGATCTCAGTTCTTCATTGCCAGTGCTTGCAAGGGTTGAGCCATGACCACTTAGCTGTGGGTGGCGTGCCTTAGCCAAGGCATGAACCAACTCCAATCTACCCATGAAGGTGCCACCTCCCTTCTTTTGGCCACAGTTGCTTGCTTGTTTTTTTGGTCGGGCTGTTGCTGGGACTTTGCCACTTTGCAGATCCCAGCTCAAGCTGCCACGAAACCTACATAAGTTTGATTCACCAACACATGCAACAATTCCAAGTAGATGTTTCTTACAACTGACTTGTTTTTCCTTTTTTTTGCTGGGGCGACCGCCGCGTGCAATCATGCCCGTCTCAAAGCCTGACCAGACCAGGGTAAGCCTACTAAAGGCTGGGAAAGGTCGGTGGATGTGGGCAAGAACCTTTTTTTATTCACTGGCCAAGAAGAAGAAAAAAACAATGCTTGGCAGGCTTTCTACACTGACATCTTGAAAACAGGCTACCGGGAGGAAAGGTTCCTAGAGCTCGCCAAAAAAGAAGGCGTGCCAATTCAAAAGGCCGAAAGGCTGCTGAAAGACAAGAAGGTGCCCCCCCACTATGATGCACAAGATTTGGGAATTTGGGCCCTTTGTTCTCCCAAAACAATCGTTGGATAGCAGGTACCACCTGTGGTCTTCAGCTTTCTTGATGTGAATTCCAAAAAGGGGCTCACAGAAGATGTGGTTTTCCTGGCATGTTTCTCCTTGTTTTTATTTTTTAAAGGAATTGGCTACAGCGCCAGGTCAAGACCGACAACAACACGCTCTTTGCACTCAAATGGTTGCCAAACTTTGCATTGGACCAACCAACGCCACGAGAGGTAAAGGCAGATTGGGATCACACAATCACACATTCTACCCCTCAGACTTCAAAAAATAGCACCGATCATTTTCAACCATGTTAATTTGTGCTAGGATGCTTTGATGGTTACTGCTGAAAAATGGCGACTAGTGGATCCAAAAGATGACCTTGAAGTCAGACCCTTAGAAAAAATCACTTCCCCTCGGTTCAGCTTGCTTCCAGCCCACTCGCCTCCGAGGAGTGGGCTTCGACGGAATCAGGTCTGCATCGCCTTTTGGCGAGCAACATTTTGGCAAACTATGCCCGTACCACATCCACCAGGCATGGTAAGGAAGTTGTAGCATATGTACCATGCCAAACAGCGTCACCGAGTAATTGGGGTGGGGGTTTCCAGTTTGCAACCTTCTTCTAGGCAAAAGGATGGAAACATTGCCAAGCTGAAGGCAATGGTCACGATGATTTACGAGGATATGAATACGTCAAATCCTGTTTTATGGTCTCAATGTTGTGGATGCAAGAAATCCTGCACAAGTTGGTAAATGGTGTATCCCGTTATTGCAGGATTTCTTCCATCCACAGCATGTCTCAATTCACATTATCTACTTTTAGCCAACATGCATCAAGTGTGGCAGGACGCAGGGATTGAGAAGAGAACGAGGTCTATCCGGAAACCACTCACAAAGGCTGGAAAAGGATGTTTCCCCATTTCAAGCTGACTTACAATTCTCAGGTTCACTCAGGCATAAGCATCCAAGTCGAACCGAAGAATATCACCCCTCGGGCCCTAGTGCACCAGGAAGATGCAAAGAATGCAAAAGAGAAAGAAGGAGTAGAAGACAAGGAAACAGAGAACCCTGAAGAAATGGTGATAGTTGAAGAGGAGGAGGAGGAAGAGGATTTTACCGAAGATGAAGTGACAGAAGAAAGGTCTCTGGAAGGGCTGCAGGATGAAGCGAAGGAAAAGGGCAGTGCCAAAGTGGAAAGCCAGAAGGCAGAGGAAAAGCCGCAGTCTGAGAAGAAGGTAGAGGAAAGGGCCGAGAAGACGGCAGAGAAGGAGGCATCAAATGAGGAAAGGAACAAAGCCGATAAGAGCAAGGCTGAGGAGGAAAGGCTGGAGGCAGAGAAGCAAAGGCTTCGTGCAGAGCAGAAGAAGGCAGAGGAGGAAAGGATCAAAGCAGATGAGGCGAAGAAAAGGCAGGAGGAGGAAAGGCTGACCGCAGAGATGCAGGCGGAGAATGAAAGGATCAAAAAGGCAGAGGAGGAGAAAGCAGCGAAGAAGAGGATTGAGGCAGAGAAGAAGGCAGAGGAGGAAAGGATCAAACAGGCTGAGAAGGAGAAAGAAGAGGAAATGTTGCAGGCAGTGAAGAAAAGGATTCAGGCCGAGAGGAAAGCAGAGCAGAAAAGGATCAAAAAGGCTGAGGAGGAGAAAGAAGAGGAAATGCTGCAGGCAGCAAAGAAAAGAATTCAGGCTGAGAGGAAAGCAGAGGAGGAAAGGATCAAGGCAGAGGAGGAGAAAGAAGAGGAAATGCTGCAGGCAGCGAAGAAAAGGATTCAGGCCGAGAGGAAAGCAGAGGAGGAAAGGATCAAGGCAGAGGAGAGAATCCAAGAGACGAAGAAAGCCAAGGAGGAAAAGATCAAAGCAGATGAGCAGAAGGCGGCGGAGGACAGAATCCAAGAGGCCAAGAGAAAGGCTGAGGAGAAGGAGGAGGAAGATGCAAGGCTGAGAGCACAGAAGAGGGCAGAGCAGAAGAGGATTCTGGAGCAACAGAACAGAGAGAAAGAAAGGATCCAAGAGGAGCAAGAAAGGAAGTTGGACGAGAAGATAACACAGGACATGATCCAGCAGACCAAAAAGGAAAAAGCAGAAGAGGTCAAAAGAGCAAGAATCAAGGCTGAGGTGACTGCCTTGGTTGCAAGCCTACGCAAGACCCTGGAACAGGTGGACGAAGACTTGGGCAACGAGGTCAGAAAGTATGTCAAACAGGCACTTGCAGAGGCCAAGAAAGAAGAAATCGAAATCGATAGCGAAGATGATGCCATGAATCGAAATAACATTGACAGCAGCAAAATGAGAGGAACCTTCAAAGACACAAAGCCTTTGCTTCATCACATTCCTGAGTTAAAGGAGCTTGAGGCAGAAGGAGATGAACAAGAAGAAGAAGAAGAAGCGAGGCAAATTCTTGAGGAGCAAAGGAGGATGAGAGCTGACCTGAAAAAGAAAGCAAAGGAAGAGAAGGCAGCAGCGGAAGCTGAGAAGAAAAAACCTGGCAGGCCAAAGAGAGCTGCTAAGGCAAAACCACAGAAGTCAGAAGGAGAGGAAAAAGCACCCGAGAAAGAAGAGGAAGAATCAATGGAAGCTGCGCTGGATGATGAAGATAAGAAAATGAAGAAAGAAAGAGATGCAGAAAGCCAGGACGATGAACCAAAACCAAAGCGTCCAAAAAAACAGCCCAAGGAAAAAGCAGCTTCCAAGAAGAGAAAGAAGGCTGACGCTGAGAAGGAACCGAAGAAACGCGCAAAGGAGGATGACAAGGAAAGTGAGAAGGAAGATCACCCTGAGGAAAGCAAGCCCGCGGAGAGTGAACAGGAAGATGATCCTGAAGGAGGCAAGCCCACGGGGGGAAGCACGGTGGATCCTGTGACTCCCAAGAAGCCAAAAGCAAAGACTGTCAAGAAAAAGGAAAAGGAGAAGGACAGAAATTTGCACAGACCCAGGGTCACAACCTCCCTATCAGGATGTTGATTCATCTTGGAAAATTGTAGGGCTTCCAAGCAAACTCAAAAACACAGACTTCCAGAAACTACGTGGAAATGATCTAGTATCTGCATTTTCTTCTTAACTCTGGGTTCCAAGCTGTAGCACTAGAGCTCTTGCTTTCCCAGGACGAGGAGGGCAACGCAAAAGAGCCAAAGAAGTACTACAAAGAGGCCAAACATGGCCAGACTGAACCCTTATAGCTACGAAAATCTACGAAATAATTTTAACAGTAACCATCAAGATCATGAATCTTGAAAGCAATTCCTTGAATTGCCAACAGCCATCATTGAACAATTCTTGAACTCGGGTTCCTCAGTCCTCTGATGTCCTTTGTATTGGTTGGTCCCCCAACCCTTGCCTCCATTCACGGGAGAACCGCGTGAAGAACATCGAGATCCTCCGCAAGTTTGCTGCTGACGACTCCAACAACTACAAGCTCCCAAGTGAAGAGGTGATGGCTAAGGGGTGTGGGCCATAGGCTCTCAAGGCATTTGATTTTTTTAAACGGTTTGTGTTGATGCCTCCCTAGGTCTTGGACAGAGGCACCTGACGTGGAAACGGTTCCGGAGACTTTGAAAGACAGTTGTGTCTCCGTTTCCACTTTGCCCCAATCTCAGAGCAGTGAGGTGAATCTCTTTTTATCTACGTTTGATTTAGAAATTTCACTATTGAAATTGAAATGATGAACCTAAGGCTCATTGGTGGTTCCTTCTATGTTCGAGGGGGCCCAATCGATGTTCAGGAAAATGTGAACAAACACTTTGGAACGAATTTCGCGGTGATTCCGGCATATTTTTTCCGTGGCTCAGGGGGCTGTAGTTTCTTGGCCATTGTGCCAGGCTCATCAGAAGAAGTCCAAGGGAGTCACACTGACTTGGGGTGTTCATGGCATTGACCATGCGTTTCATTCTCAGGACAAAAATCTACTTACTGGAAAAAGTTAGACACAGATTATGGCAAGACATTCTAAGGTGGGCCCTGGCTCGCTGTCTTGGAGCTTGGGTAGATTGCTCTTCTTTTCCGTCAAAGAAATCAGATGTTTCTGACACCGGCTCTGACTCTGACTGAGCTTAGGGGTTGACATCATGGCTGGGCCAATAACCAATCCACAAACATTTATAGTATAATGCATTTGATTCTTGGGTCCTTAGCCATGAAGGTCGTTTTGATCTAGAGCAGAGGGTCTCACATGAGTCGCATAGCCGATTCAATCAATCTTGGGGCAATTGAGACATGAAACAGCGGACAAAAATAAAGTTGAATCCGTCACATCTGGGAGTTGGTTTGTACATGTATCCAGCAAGTGTCCAGACCCTCTGCCTGCAGTCCCGTGGCTCCATCACTGACAGGAACTTCAAAGACCTTTGGCACCATGGTAGGACCTGCATGGCAGCGGAGTGCGTTGGCGCTGACGGCATGCGCTGCCACCATGCTTCTACATCTTGGGGCACCCCGCGAATTGCTGGGTCCCCAAGAACACGTAATTACGTAAGATGTCAGAATTATTTGCCTGAATCCAGCTTACCTTCCCCGAATTTCGCCGACTGGACTAGGATCCTGGTTGCTGATGCCGTGGCAGAAGCAAACTACTTGAAGTACCCATGCAGAGTTTGCACCCTAGCTTGGGAAACCAGATTTGGAACAAAATACTTGGACACGCTCTTTGCAAGGATTTGTGGAACTATGATGTCTTTTCTGGGGAGAAGGCAATCCACAAGGCCTTCTGCAACACCCTTAGCTGAACTGTGAGAACGAAGGATGCCATCATAATCCAGCCAACTCCAACCAACTAGTTTCAGCACATCCCTCATCATCCCTCAAATTTTGCCCTAAAGGTGGGGCTGGATACTCTTCGCTTGGAACTCAGAATTTGCAGCTTTATAAACATATATTATATATGATGTTTGTTCGTTACAATGGTGAAATATTGATTGCACAGATCTATTTCTTTCATTGACAAATTTGCGAGGGAATACTTCGACATCGCTTCCCGTGGCGAAGCAAACAACATAGCTACAGCGTTTGCGCCTTACCTAATTCATTTGCCAAAAGTAATGAAAACATGCCTTCCTGTCCGGGCATCCAGATCATGTGCTTTGAAACAAAATAGGCTTTTCCTCAAATGAAGTTATGGTAAAATGTGGATTCCGTTGCTGAGGTCTGGCTTTGCAGAGAGCGTTCTTCACACGCTCCGGTTGGCCCCAGATGCAGTGATAACTCTTGGGCCTCCTTGTTCAAGTTTTGTATGGGTCAATTCCCATACCTCCCAACGGAATTCTCAAAATCCATATGGCGACGAGAAAAAAGATTACATTCGGTTGGCTAACTTGAAACTTGGCTTTTATTTATTTACAGTTGTGAAGTAGAATCGGGGTCAGTACATAATCTAATTTATCCTGACTGTTCAAGGCATTTGATTTTTGGCTGGTCGTTTGATGCCCAAGCCCTTGGATTGAGGATATGTGCTCGAGCACTTCTTTTAGTGGCCCTAGCCACATGCCGTGGCGTATATTTTGCTTTGGAGCAACCACAAACATCGTGTATGCGGTTCTTCCCAGACTTTGTCGCACTACGCGTTGCCATTCAGAAAATGTTTGGGTGTTATTGGTATGAACAATTCTTGTCCCGGCCCCAGAAAGCATCAACACTTCTTGAAACTGCAGATGAAGATCGTTGCAAAAGATCCATTAATCATCTCTGTTCATTGTTATACTATCTTGGAGATGAGCTCATTTTGTTCTATATTCTATATTGTCGAGGTTCCCACAAGATGATTAATGGATCCACTATTCAATTCACAGACCAAGATAAATTTCCTACCACCATTCCACCCAGTTACATGGGGGCCCACGGCGCCTTGACGATGAAGCCGTCTCGGATTTGGAGTACAGGGATCGGGGCTCAGTCCTGCACCAAGGTCATTAGGGAAAGCTGAAATAATGGCAATTTTGGGGGGAGACCTTTTTTCACACATTTTGACCTTGGTGCCTTTTGAAAGCAAAGTTTGGTCATAGTTGGTTTCCCACATTAGGAGCTTTATCAAAAAGTTCCACATCAAGCTGTCCAAGAAAAAGCGTGAACAACTGAAGGCCAATTCCAAAAAGGCAAAAGTTGTTGTGCGGAAAAGGAAGCCTCATGGTTCCTTCACAGTGTCATGCCCTCAGCTATTTCACCCTTCGTTCAAACACATTCAAAATCTTTGCAGGACTTTCCCAGTTGGTTGGAATTCGTCCAACAATACTTTGGGATTTACAATGTTTTTTTTTCACATGGTGGCAAGGAATCGAAACAGATTCCGCGTCAAAGATTCCAGATGACTAACCCTACTGGTGCCCAGCCGGCTGAGGAGTGGAGGGCCTGGCCTTAAAAAAACACAAGTCTATCCGGCTCTGTATGGGGAGAGGATGTGCAAATTCCACAAAGCCCATACGGACAGGGACAGGGTGTTCAATAGTGTATGTTGTGGGGGCTTTTTTGGGTCCTGTGCAGTTTCACTTTGTAGGATTCCAAAGGATTGCACTTCAGCGCTGTCATCAAGACCGCTTTCGATAAAATCCAACGTTCGGGGAAAAAGCCAGCCAGAATCTCATTTCCCAGATCCCAAAGTTTGAAAATAGAAACATGCATGCCCTACATGCCCACCACACCAACATGTCCTGCCACATTGTTGTTCTCCAAGGTCAAACGGCCAGGTGCTTGGCAGAAAGCTGACCTGAAGCAGCTGCGCCAACTGCTCTCCTAAAGGTGATGGGCCAGGATACTTTTGAATTTTTGCCTGGTTTGGCAATTTGGTGGCTACAGGGTCTTTTGGATTTAAAACCAAATCAATCATAATATCAAGTGTATTTGCGTTTAATGATTTTTGGTGCCTTCTCCCATTCAGTAATTTGGACAAAAAGCCACAACGAATAAAAGCCAGGGCAATGTCTCCTGTTGCAATTCAAGTTGGGCCCAGGGCAGGTTTCATGGCTTGTGCTGTACCACTAATATGGGCAAAATTAGTGGAACTTATATTTTGAATACGTTCAATTCCCTCAAAAAAGCAATTAGTCTTTTTTTGCCAAGGAATCTATGGGAATGAAACGGACATCCCACAAAGAATTGCTCAACAATGTTGCACCAAAATTTTCCAGCTGGAATTTCAGTTAGGTGATTTGTTAATATGTCATATGGGAAGAGGAAACTATATGCCTAGCAATCCAAAAGATTGAAATTGACACTTCACATTTTTTTTGCCACCCAATGAATCCCGAATTCCAGCTGGGTCTATGGTTCTGCGATTTCTCTGGAATTCTTCCCATATAAGTGCCAAAAAATCCAACCCGAATGAAACTAATTTCCGGGAAACCCAAATTCATGGGATTTGCATTTTAAATAGCCCCTAAATTACGCTGATGAAGGGTGCCCATAGCAGAAAGCCTGCAGCCCTATCCCAAGTCTATGTATCCAGCCGCCTTCCTTCGCTTTGACTTTGCAATCGCTGGCCTACCAGCGTGCTGCTGCTTGAGATTTCACATGGTGTCCAGGTGTGGGGTGGTATCTACTTCAAATCTGGTTGAACAAATCATTCCTCTTAAATTGCCAATAACAAATATCTTCAAATACGATGTGTTGCAATGAAATACGGTGTTTTGGAATGAAATACGAAGTTTTGGAAATGAAATACGAAGTTTTGGAATGAAATGCGAAGTTTTGAATGACTATACTGCTTTGGAATTAAAGAAATACGAAGTTTTGGAGTGAAGTACCATGTTTGGGAATGACATACAAAGTTTTGGATTGAAATACATTTTTTTGGAATGAAATACGAAGTTTTGGAGTTAAATACAAAGTGTTGGAATGATCTAGCACTCCTAACTTCCAATCTGGTTGGAAAGATGCCAATCCTGTAAAAATCATCAACCATATGTCCGCGTGATTTTGCGTGATTGTGCGTGAAGTTTGCGTGAAATACCAAGTTTTTGCGTGAAATACTAAGTTTTTGCGTGATCTAGGACCCCTTGAAATCTCAAGAATTTCTGCGCAGAAAGTGATCGCTCTAGGTGTCCAAAAAATGTCCAATGTCCAAATTTGATGGCATGTCGTTAATTCAAGCCAGATCAGTCGCAATTTCACAGATCTTTCCAACCAAAATTGCGGTGAGTTTCACTTCCCTTTAGGTCCTTAGAGACATGGGGGAGGATCTTGCACAGTTTTTGCAAGAGGCAAAACTTAGGCGACAGAAGGTCATGGATCTGGATCCGTCAACACCTGATGGGCCTGATTCCATTCTAAGGGCGAAGACCTTGACTTTGGGTGAGTTTACCTGGCATTCATTGGCATAACACAATGTTCTATCTTATTTTTTGTTTTGGCCCTAAATTTTTGGATCCACATGCCAGGGAAGAGCCTACTGAAGGACAAAGCCAAACACCACCTTCCGAAAAGCCAGGCAACTGTGTCTTGTTTTGGTATACTCTTCCACGTAAAAATGTTATTTGAACTAATTTATGCACCTTTTGGGTTTCTTGGCCATGGTTTCCCTTCCAGTTTAGTAGTTTCCAAGAATGTTTACTGGATTTCCGTGAAAACACACTATTACAACCCAAGACTGGTTAGACTTCGGACCACCTGACCATATACACCTCGCTTTGGCAGGCAAAAGGCGTACTGTGGTTCGCAAGGTTGTTGTGAAGAAAGCAAAGCTCAACCGTACAGGGTCTGTTGGGTCTTCGTTGGCCGAAAAATCTACTGGGTCCCCCAGTTCCAGTTCAGCAGAGAGAACACCAAGCCCAGCAGAGAAGACAACCACGTCAAATCTTTCACGCTCCATGTCAACAGCCGACACCGTGGTTGAATCTACCCCAAGCAGTTTGAGTCGTGGGACTAGTTTTGCAAATGACCAGCTCTTACGGTGTTCAACAGGGGACCAAGATTCCTTTGCAGCACGGCTCGAGGCAGCCGCTTCCCCACAGAAACCAGAGGAGTTGGTGAGAAAGGCTATGGAACTGTTGAAGTTAGCTGACAAGATGAAACATGAAGCAGTTACAATCGAGAGTGACGGTGAAAATTCCCCACAAAACAAAGACCCAAGTCTTGTAATGGAATCCTGGTGGAGGGTTGAAGAAGAGGAAGAAAGGATTCGCGCAGAACAGAAGAAGGCAGAGGAAGAAAGGCATCAGGCTGAGAAGAAGGCAGATGAGCAGAGGATCCAAGCAGAGAATAAGGCAAATGAGGAAAAGGAACAGGATGAGAAGAAGGAAGAGGAAGAAAGGATTCGGAAGAAGGCGGAGGAAGAAAGGCATCAGGCTGAGAAGAAGGCAGAGGAGCAGGGGATCCAAGCAGAGAAGAAGGTACATGAGGAAAAGGAACAGGATGAGAAGAAGAAAGAAGAAGAAAGGATTCGTGCAGAACAGAAGAAGGCAGATGAGCAGAGGATCCAAGCAGAGAATAAGGCAAATGAGGAAAAGGAACAGGATGAGAAGAAGGAAGAGGAAGAAAGGATTCGGAAGAAGGCGGAGGAAGAAAGGCATCAGGCTGAGAAGAAGGCAGAGGAGCAGGGGATCCAAGCAGAGAAGAAGGTACATGAGGAAAAGGAACAGGATGAGAAGAAGAAAGAGGAAGAAAGGATTCGTGCAGAACAGAAGAAGGCAGAGGAGCAGAGGATCCAAGCAGAGAAGAAGGCAGATGAGAAGAAGGGGAAGGATGAACAGGTCCCCAAGAAGAACAGTGAAGGCCCGAAGACTCGTGAGGAGCTTTTAGCTCTTGCCCAAGACTTGTTAAAACAGGCCGAAAATCTGAAGTCTGACCTTCCAAAGGAGGAGGAGGAGGATCAGGACACCAAAAAGGACGACAAGCTTCCAAAGGAGGGGGAGGATCAGGACACCAAAAAGGAGGACAAGCCACTCGAGGAAAAAACAGAGGAAGAACTGAGGGAAGCAGCAAAACAGCTTCAGGTTGAGAAACAAAGACTTGCAGCACGTGCTCGTTACATGAGATACTACAGGAACATACGGCGTCTGAAACTTATCAAAGTTTTTGAAATTCAAGTATCCATTAGAAAGAGGAATGTCACCCCATAGGTACGTCCCTTACCAATTTCCTTCTGTTGCTGAGACAAAGATACACCGAAAGAACTGAGAGCTATGGCTGCTGAGGCAAAAGGCAGTACCTTTGTTTGCATGTGGGGAGTGGTTCTTTTAGCTCAATACTATGCAAGTAACTCGTGAAAGAAAATTGCAAAGGTGTGGCATGTTGCCCCCATAAGCCTACGCGAGTCCCATTGCTCAGGTAAATCCTTGAACAGTGTCCTTTATGATGCTTGGTCATCATGCGGAGAAGGGAACTGGTCCAAGTCCACGTTTCTGATGCACATCAGAGAAAGGCACACGTCGAAGAAGCGAGGGGTAAGAAAGTGGCTGACGGCTTCCGAAATGAATGCCATTTTCGGAGCTGAAGCAGCTGAGTTAATCCGGGTTAGGAAGCTAGACACAGAGGAGCTCAGAAATAAAGAAACCCGATTTCATCCCGAACTGCCCGGGATGAAGGACCTATATGGGATAAGTGGTGGTCGGTGTGTTGGGGACTTATACTACGTATAGAGGTAGGTACATGATTTTTACATAGACTGTCCATTCCAACCCAAATTTCTGTGTGTTCTGGGCTTTCTATACTTTCTTGGAACGGTAGTTTTAATGCATGTTCAAAACTAGCTAGCAACTAGTGCCACGACCTCCCACAACCTCCTTCAAATCTCTTTGGGGTCTCCTGCAAGCTCCCGCTTCTCTGCAGGAACACATGCAGTACTTGACCCTGGTCGAAGATGCGGAGGAGGAAGAGCACCAAGAGGAGTTGGATCGGTTGTTTCAGGCTATTGACAACGATTCGAGCGACTCGGATTCGTCAGACTCGGGACCGGAAAACAAAAAGAAAAAAAATGAGAAGAAGGAGAAGAAAGAAAGCAAGAAAGAGGTTCGGTCTCTGGTGGGGCCCCCATGGATTAATTTATTCCACCAAAGGTATCTCATAGAACAGTCTTTCTTGATTTTTTGATGTGAAGGTCCGCAAGAAGGAAAAAAAAAATGCAAAGAAGTCCAAGAAAGATAAGAATGACAAGAAGGAAAAAAAGGCCAAAGACGAAGATGACAAGAAGGACAAGAAGGAAGAAGAGGACCCCGAAAAAGCAGCAAATGCCAAGTTGGCAAAGGATGCAAAGAAGGCTTGTTTACAAGCTTGTTGTTCGATCTAGACTTTAGATTCAGCAACTGACTTTTTCTCAAAGTTTTTGTGAACGAGTTGTGGTCCTCAGCTGGAGGCAATTGGTGATGCTAGCACCAAGATCAAATGGGCTTTGGGGTTGATGCCTGCCTTGGAAAATATGTGAGCACCTCAAGGTGTCCGTGTCTTCTACATATTTCCCTCCTTCTATATAGAGATGAACCAGTTGTTTTGAAATTCCCTATCCTTAATCACCGGGTGCTTTCTTAGGAGTGACAATTTGCGCCAAGCGGTCAAGACTGACGTTGAAACCAAAAAGGCGGATCTGGAGGCTAGAGTTGAGCGTGGGTTTATCGTTTTGATTTCAAATGTTTTTTTTGCAATCAATATTTGAAAACACAAAATCATTCGGAAGGCCAAACGTGCCACCTTGCAGACAGCATCAGATTCTGACCAGGCTGGGTCCAAGATATACTCACAATGTACGTGCTAGTTTTCTGCAACCTCCCAACAAAATGGGTTTGAGTTCCATGTGGCTGCTAAGGTCACCAGTGCGGTCGTTGAGGCGTGCAATGTTGCGCGCTGTGAGCTGGAAAGAGCCTGCGAGCCTCTGAAAAACAAGAAGGCCAAAAAGGCTTGAGTATTCTAGGATTTTGATTTGGAAAAGTGGCTGCTTGCACCAGAGGATGATTTTATACAACCAACAGTTGCTATTGAAAATGTGTTGCAAAAATAATTTGGATTCAATATGATTGTTTTGACCTGGTGGTGGCCTATGTGTTCTACAAGCAGGCGCATTTGTGAAAGTCCCTGCGAGGGTGTTAACCAGTTCACCTGAGTTGCGGGGGGCAGGGATGTTTTCCAACTATGTGCATAGGCTTGTCCAATTCAACTTTGCTGCTGTGCATCCTCCGAGTTACGGAAAACCCAAATTAAATTCCGAAAATTTCCACATTTGCGACATGTTTTGCACTTCTTTCACGGCAGCTACCCCTTACCATTTGCGTCCGCTCGGCAATCTGACCGAGCCATGACATATTGGAAATTGAAACCTTGTGCATTCACTACAGGGCTGGACCGAAGTTCAAAGAGTTGAATGTGGAAAAATGGTGTCCGTTTACATCGACATGTGCTGATTTCATAGCACAACCTCAACACAAACATGTGCAAAATCAGGTGAATGACTAAAAAACAATTTGCAATTCCAAACCAGAAACTTTAGTAAAACCCTGACTGACTTGCCACGCAGGTAGCGAACAGTTTGGTCCTCTGGAACGAGATGTCACCGAGAAAATTGCCTCTGGGGTGCCTTGTTTAAATTTCAAGTTCTAGAACTGTGTTTGTGAAGACCAGTTAAACTGAAGATCTACTTTGGAAAATTCCTTGGAGGGTTCCAGCCCAATCCCGGCCTTGTTGGTTTCGCCGGTTTTGCCCAGGAAGCCAGTTCTCTATCTGCAATGAAGGCAGCTCGTGCTACTTTTGAAGATGCTTAGCTGCTTCTGCCGGGGGTTGACATGTAGCCCCTTTACTGTCCGTCCCATACCTGGGAACAAACTGTACCAGGTTTATTTTTGGATTTCCATTGTGTCCAATTTTGGAGGGGTGTTCATCTTAACGGGGGTATACAGTGATCAGTATAGACAAAGTTCAAAATATACAAAACTCTGAAGATTGAAAATTAGTGGCTCCCGCTTACTTAGGAGGCCCGTGGTTGCACTACACCATGGACTGCGAAGCTTGCTTCCTATGCTCCGGGGAATGCTGCCCGAGACTTCCGGCACAATGCCGCTTTACCATTGGATCCTAAGCTGGTATTAAACCTAGTGTGGAAATTGTGGATACTGTGGGGAGCCAATCCGTTGCAAACCAAAACAAACCAATGATGGGTACCGTGCACATCCCATAAGACCACAGGTGGGATCCAATTCCCTTTCAGCCTCTCAACTTTTCTTCATGCTTCAGGAGCCTGTGATGGTGGAGGTTGCAGTCAAGGTGGAAACGGGATCCACTGACAGTGGTCGCGTGTGTCTTGGTTCTTGAAACAATTGGGGATGAGATTTATATTTTGGTACCCCGGGGTGAACATTTTTTTTAGTGGTATTCACAATTACATCAGGGATACCATATAAGCAGTAGGCAAACCCAAAAACATGGAGTGCTATCGGGTTGCTGCTCTTGAGGTCACTACCACTGATTCTTCCCTACGATGTGATGGACTACCTGATCGGATCATGTAATCTTCATATTGAGGAGGAGTTGATCAACCAATTCTGGTCCCACTTGGATTCAGTAGAGGATTCATGGGCCCTCTCCACTCGGGAGTTTCGAAAAGCAGTTGGTGACAAAGTCATACCTCTTGGGTTCTATGGAGACGAAGCCTGCATGGGTTTAGTGACAGATCCTTACAACCAAATCTATGGACTGTTTATGTCAGTAGTATTGTTCCGACCCACATCCACAAGGATGTCGAGGTACTTGTTGTTTTCGGTGGATAGCCATCGAATACATTCTGTTGAGGAAACTTTTTTCCCAGTGCTGGAACAAATTACAGCATCCTTCAACAGACTGTCAAATGAAGGAGTCCATGGACGGCATTTCTTGGTTTCTGAAATTCGGGGTGACCAGTCATTTTTTAAATACCTCTTCAAGCATGAATCGTGGTGGAGAAGTACGAATGTGTGCTTTCGCTGCAAAGCGACCACAAGACCCACGAATCTCAACTACTGCGTTTATGAGTCTAATGATGGCTGGAATTGCACGTGCCGTTCAACTTTCGAGTTCATTCGGGATGAGCTACCCCACGACAAACTGTGCTCCTTGGGCTTTGCCTTATTTGAAAACTATATTTGTATTTGTGGCACCCTTTTACTGAAAGAATCAATATCGATATCATACGGATTCACATCACATATGGTTCCCCTTCACCTGCCTCGACAATCTACATCTTTCCCAAGTCGTCTTCCTTCTTCCAAACTTCACCACCTTCGCAGGATTTGAATCTGGGTGCTACCTACAGCTTTGGCCATTTATTGGTTATAAGTGGTTATCATAAGCGGGATTATACATTCCATAAATGGGGTTATAAGTACTTATAATTGATAAAGGGCCATAACTGTAGGAAAGGGAATTTTACAACCAACCCTCCAATTGGATGTTTTCTTTTTTCTAAGGTATCAGTATCGGTCTCCGGGGGTTACAAACTTTCAGGCCCTTTGATAGACCTGGACTACTTCGACATTAGCACCCTGCAGCATTGTACGCTTCACATTCTCAATCTGACGCTCTTGGGTGTGGCGAATGGATCAACGTTGAGCCCTGTCAATGATTTGGATATGGAACATCAAAGAATCTAGATTTTGATTCCCTTGTTTTTTGAAAAAACACACATGGTTCATCAGAACATGACCAAAGTTTCTATGTGGGTTTTCGGACTAAGGGCAAGCGCCCATTGAAATGGATATTGTTTTCACGACCCATGTTTCCACAGCCAAGGGGTATGTTGCTCGACCAGGGCATCTTTGGCGATGTTTCTCAGGGATATGCAGATGCGCTTGGGGAAGCATTTGAAAATTTCGCATTGTGGAGGAGGGCCCACAAAATACAGAGTAGTCAGAAGCGGTTTACACCAGGTCAAATCTTGAGAGATGGTTATGTTTTTTTCCTCAACGCGAAGGGATTCAATGCTCGTTTGATTGCTGAGTGGCTTCTTGACCTCATCATCGCTATTCCAACTGGTGATCCCCGTCATGGATTGGTGGAAGTTGCTTTGAAGCTTGAACAAAACACCAAATGGGTAAAAGGAATCCGGAATATATTGAACTTCCACCGACCCCCTTTGGTAGAGGATTAAAGGGAACCCAAAATGCTTTTTTTTAATCCGGGGCTAAGCTACTATTAATATTGCAATATATCGATGGGCCATACCCCGCCAAAAAAATAAATGCCCCAGCTCAGGACAGGAATCTGCCGATACTTCGCCCTCACAGAGCGGGCCTCCAGGTGCTTGCTTCTTGGCCACCATCGCGGCGTTGTGGCCAGAGGTTCGGGTATTTGCCTAAAATTCCCCTAAAATTAAACACCCCTATAAACCATGGTCTACTAGAGAATTTTCGAATAATTGGCCCAATTAAGGTGGTGTTTAATATTAGAGGGATGGGATATGATGGGATTTGTAGCCACCGAATTTTTGGGTCTTTAACTTATATGGGGGTTGTGCTAAATTATTTTGCCTTCTAAATCATTTTTGGGTCTCAATCCGGGGCAAGTTTTTAGCGACCCCAAACTTCTCCACAAACCGGCCTTTTAAATTTGAATACTGGGGTTTTAGAACGATTCCCATATGTGTCCAACGTCGAAGTTTAAATATAATCTTTATTATTCAGATCTAATATTATAGCCATATGTTTTTGGTAGCTTTTTAAACATATGTAGAGTGGTATCAACAGATCATCAGCCTACATCCTAGGACTGTGGCACAAGCACGTGCCATTGAGCAAAGTGGCAAGACATTCCTGCTCGCTTACCGCAGACTCAACAGGACATCCATCAGGTGTGGACTTTAAAAAAAAATAACTTGAAGGTTTTCAATTTCATCAGGGTTAATTCAAATCAACACTGCTGGTTCTCCCTGTAAGGATGGGGTGCATAGCATGGGTGCTCACCCCAAAATGGCATGTGCCCTGGTTTCGCATTTGGCCATTCTATTGTTTTTCAGTGTGTGTTTTTACGCCATAGGTTTCGGTCCATAGATACGTGTTTCCGGATTTAGATGAGCTTTCAGTGTCCAAGGCGTTTGTGCATGTGTTGGTGGAAGGGGTCCGCAAACGAAGATGCTAAACTTGACTGGTCTATTTTTAGTGCCCCCCCCAAGTGGAAGTTTGGAATATCTGAATGGGTAAGTTGGGTTTAATGACAAAGCTTGTTCAATCTAAGGAGTCAACCCACGATATCACCACACATTTTGTGATGAAGATCAGATGAGAGTTTTGAAGTGTTGGGCCAAAAGGTCCCAAGGAAAGAGACGTCCAATGGGCATCATGTACTTGGCAAGGGCCAGATACAAGTCGCTTCAATGGAAGCTTCAAACTCTGAGGCGAAAGAGATGAAAAGAAAAAGAGTGCCGTCGGGGGAGTTGGGGGGGGCAGGTGTGAAACCCATGAAGAATCATGAAAACCTTGTTGAATCCCAAACTTCGTATTTACCTCAAAAACATCGAATCATTGTAAATGCTAAGTTTAACTTCGTGCTTAGCTAAATCCTAAGTTAAACTTCGACGTATGAACCCTAGGGTATATCTATATGCCTATACAGAAGCAGCGGAGATCCGTCCGGCACCGCGCAGCGGAGTCGGTACCAGCACCGCGTAGCGGAGCTGGGGCACGCGAAGCGACCTTTGCCTCGCCGCGACACCGTGGCCGAACCTGAGAGGGGAGCCGCGGCCTGTGTCGTGGTAGGTGCAGCCCAGAGTTGCGATGGGGGCCGGGGCTTTGGGCACCCCGGCAGCATCCTTCCATGGAAGGGGGCTGACTGCCTCGCTAAAGCGGCGGGTGCGGAGCCAGCTGGCCAGATGAGAGATGAAAAATTGCACGCCGTTGTGGCGCGAAGCACATTTCCAAGTCAAAATGTACAAAACACACCACGTTCGGACCACTTTTGGAAGTTGAGATGTCGAAAAAGTGCACGCCGTTGTGGCGCGAAGCACATTTCCAAGTCAAAATGTACAAAACACGTCAGCCGGACCATTTTTGGAAGTTGAGATGTCGAAAAAGTGCACGCCGTTGTGGCGCGAAGTACATTTCCAAGTCAAAATGTACAAAACACCTCAGTGTCGGACCACTTTTGGAAGTTGAGATGTCGAAAAAGTGCACGCCGTTGTGGCTCGAAGCACATTTCCAAGTCAAAATGTACAAAACACCACATGTTCGCGCCTCTTTTGGAGGTTCAGACGTCGTTTCGCGTGGCAGGCGCAAGAGATTGTGCACCTTGTCAAAAGTAAGCAAAACGTGAGAATTTGTGGCATTTCCACAAACGATGGCAGGCATGGGAGATTTGAAGAGGATCTGTAAAGATGCATTCCGTGGCAGGCGCAGTACAAAGGACATGTTCATGAGAGACATTGGGAGGTCAGGGCGCTGATTTCCTGAGAGGGGTTACATTTAGGAGTATCAGACGTGTAGGTTTGCTAAGATGATTTTGCGTGACAGGTGCAGCACTTCGTATGACCTGGCATCAATTTTTCGTGGCAGGCGGAGTACTTGAGACAGGTGGACGGGAAAAATCGTAAAACGCAATGGTACGAGGCTGTCAGCTCTGCATGGAACTTTCCATGTTTGAAGGAAGTCTCGCAGAATTGCTTCGTTTTTGATGTTGTCACGTTCAGTCTCGCAGAATTGCTTCGTTTCGGATGTTGTCAAGTTCAAAAAATGAAGATGTCTCATAGAATTGTGTTTGGTTTTGGACGTAGTTATATTCAAACATTAAGGAAGTCTCGCCGAATTTCTTCGTTTTTGATCTTGCAGATAGATAGACAGACAGACAGACAGAGAGATAGAGAGATAGAGAGATAGATAGATCGATCGATCGATAGATAGATAGATAGATAGATAGCTGGCTAGACAGATAGACAAATAGATGGATAGATAGATGGATAGATAGATGGACAGATAGGCAGATAGACACATAGATACATAGATGGACAGATAGACAGATAGACAGATAGATACATAGATACATAAATAGATAGATAGATAGATCGATAGATAGATAGATAGACAGATAGACAGATAGACAGATAGATACATAGATACATAGATACAAAGATAGATAGATAGATAGATAGATAGACGGATAGATAGACAGATAGACAGATAGACAGATAGACAGATAGGTACATAAATAGATAGATAGATAGATAGATAGATAGATGGACAGATAGGCAGATAGACACGTAGACAGATAGACAGATAGGTACATAAATAGATAGATAGATAGATAGATGGACAGATAGGCAGATAGACACGTAGACAGATAGATAGACAGATAGACAGATAGATACATAGATACATAAATAGATAGATAGATAGATAGTTAGATAGATAGATAGACAGATAGGCAAATAGATAGACAGATAGACAGATTAGACTGATAGATACATAGATACATAGACACATAGATAGATACATAGATAGATAGATAGATAGGTAGGTAGGTAGGCGGGTGGACAGTCAGGGAAAGAGAGAGAAAGAGTGAGAGAGATCAATCACCTTTCAAACCATCAGTGGCTTGGCTCTGCCTTCCCTGATTCACAACAACCAACCTTTCCTATAGGTTTCCTATTTTTGAAACTTCCGCCACCGCCTTGTGCGGTACTACTGGTACAATAAAATTTAATATAATATAAATTAATATCATATGATTTGATATGATACCAGTAGTACCGCACAAGGCGGTGGCGGAAGTTTCAAAAATAGGAAACCTATAGGAGACGTTGGTTGTTGTGAATCAGAGATGGCAGAGCGAAGATGGCAGAGCGAAGCTGCACTGCTGGACTGAAAGGCGATTGATCTCTCTCACTCTTGTCCACCTGTCTATCTATCTATCTATCTATCTATCTATCTATCTATCTATCTATCTATCTAGCTGTCTACCTGTCATTTTTTGGTGCAGTGTCATTCAATGTAATGTAGTGTAGTGTAATGTAGTGTAATGTAGTGGAGTGTAGTTGTAGTTGTAGTGTAGTGGAGTGTAGTGTAGTGTAATGTAGTGTAGTGAAGTGTAATTTAGTGTAGTGGAGCGTAGTGGAGTGTAGTTGTGTAGTTTGAGTTGTAGTGTTGTGGAGTGTAGTGTATTGTGGTAGTGTAGTGTAGTGTAATTTAGTGTAGTGGAGTGTAGTTGTGTATGTGTAGTTGTATTTGTAGTGGAGTGTAGTGTAGTGTAATGTAGTGAAGTGTAGTGTAGTGGAGTGTAGTGGAGTGTAGTTGTGTAGTTGTAGTTGTAGTATAGTGGAGTGTAGTGGAGTGAAGTGGAGTAGTTGTGTAGTTGTGTAGTTGTAGTGGAGTGTAGTGGAGTGTAGTGTAATGTAGTGTAGTGTAGCGTAGTGGAGTGCAGTGCAGCGTAGTGTAGTGGAGTGTAGTTGTGTAGTTGTAGTTGTAGTGTAGCGGAGTGTAGTGGAGTGTAGTCTAGTGTAATGTAGTGTAGTGTAGCGTAGTGGAGTGTAGTGTAGTGTAATGTGGGATAGTGGAGTGTAGTGGAATCTAATGTAGTGTAGTGTGGTTTAGTGTAGTGGAGTGTGGTGGAGTGTAGTGGACTGTAGTTGTGTAGTTGTAGTTGCAACCTGTAGTGTTGTGAAGTGTAGTGTAATGTAATGTAGTGTAATGTAGTGTAGTGCAGCGTAGTGTAGTGTAATGTAGTGTAGTCGAGTGAAGCGAAGCAACATCTGAACCGCCAAAAGTGGTCCGAAACCCTAGTGTTTTTAACATTTTAACTTCCAAATATGCTTCGCGCCACAACGGCGTGCACTTTTTCGAAACTCGACATCTCAGCCTCCAAAAGTGGTCCGAACCCCTGGTGTTTTGTACATTTTGACTTCGAAATGTGCTTCGCGCCACAACGGCGTGCACTTTTTCGAAAGTCGACATCTGAGCCTCCAAAAGTGGTCCGTACCCCTAGTGTTTTTCACATTTTGACTTCGACATGTGCTTTGCGCCACAACGGCGTGCACTTTTTCGACATCTCAACTTCCAAAAGTGGTCCGAACCTGGTGTGCTTTGTACATTTTGACTTGGAAATGTGCTTCGCGCCACAACGGCGTGCACTTTTTCGACATCTCAACTTCCAAAACTGGTCCGAACCTGGTGTGCTTTGTACATTTTGACTTGGAAATGTGCTTCGTGCCACAACGGCGTGCACTTTTTCGACATCTCAACTTCCAAAAGTGGTCCGCTCCTCTGGTGTTTTGTTCATTTTGACTTGCAAATGTGCTTCGCGCCACAACGGCGTGCAATTTTTCATCTCTCATCTGGCCAGCTGGCTCCGCACCCGCCGCTTTAGCGAGCCTACTTTTCGACCCTCCGGAGCCACACATCATTGGAAAAACACAGTGAATCGCGACTTTCCTATCTTTTCGCGCATCTGCATCTTCTTTCTTCTGATCTTTCTCTTCTGACTCTTCTCACCTCTGCTTTTCAACTGTCCATATTGTCGGAAGTTTCACTTCTAAACTTCCTTCGATGATGTAATATGATGAAGTTTTACATCTGTTCAGACGTTACATACACACACACTTGCTCAGAACTGGCTTATCGAATTATTTGTGGGGAATGCGTCTTACGTGCAAAACAAATCCTTATCACCTGACAAGGCCCGCGACATGTTCCTGAATGACAGATTGCGAAAACCGTACAGGCACTGAAACTGACATCGAAAAGAGGTTCACAAGTTGACGTTTGGTTGGAAAAATTGTTGGAAAATCGACATGCCGGTTCTTGGCTTAGCCGGTTGCCATTCAGAGAAATGATAAAACCGATGCAGGTACGCAGAGCTGATCAGGCTCTGTATCACCACGAACTGACAGTGTCTTCGTTGGGCAGTGACTGTCAGTCGTGCACTGCCCCCCTGCGTTGATTGTTTTCCAGACCAAAAAGAAAGTGAACCCAAAAAGAAGTTTTACATCTCTACAGATGTTCCACACACACGCCCCGCTGCCGCGGGGCTTTTTTGGAAGATGCGCCGCGCTGTGAAAATGTCGCCCTGCAGGATCCTACTGCGGATCCAAGGATCAAAATGTAGGAAAAGACTAATTGAATACAATTGGCCACTCACAATCCGTCATCATCGTCCGTCCACTCTTCGTCCAGGGCTCCCGAGCGTTGACGCACCGCGCGTGCCAGCTGTGTGGCAGTAATAGCCAAATGGCTTGCCAATTGACTCAGGTCTTCTGCCGACCAGGTGTTTGGATCCGTTTGAGTGCCCGACCCATCATTGTGAAGCATCTCAAGGACCGGGGCATTGTACTCCGGGTCCTGGATCAACACGTTGTATAACGTGGTAGCCAGCTGATGGATCTGGACAGGCACAGGGGTTTCATGGAGTCCCACTTCAGCGACCATAGAATCGGAGTCCTCTGGGTAAGGGGGTTCGGATGGAGGATCATTGGGTTCCCAATATCGGTCGTGGGCAGAGACTTTTGGTTGTTCCCACGTTCCCGATTCCTCATATGGAACCTCCGGGATTTCATAGAAGCGACGCCAGTAGTTGGAGATTTTATTGGCGTTGGTCCAGGTGTCAATTGGTTGGCCATACCAATCTTTGACATGTCCCAGAATCCCATGGAAGAAGAACTCCGGACGACGATTTCGCTGGACTCCGTGAGCACACTGCTCCACTATTTGCAACTGATGTTCAGTGTTGACTCCAAACCCCTTGGATACCCGTTGAAATGTTTGGGTGTGAATTGTTTCGACGTCGACATCCGACATCGGGATAAATCCTTCTCTGGTATACCAACCTGTTCCTGACGAGTGAGAATTTGATTGGCCTTGTGGGTTCCAAGAGTTGGTATATTGCGACGATGAGGAGACAAATGGTGGAACCAGGGCCTGTTGAGAAGGCTGGATGGCGACTGTGTATAGGCCATTGCCGAAAACCACGGGTCGTTGCGAAGATCCCTTGGGGATGCTAACTCGGCTTGAACGCACGTACGCTTGGACATTATAAATGGCTAGGGACAGGGAAGGAGGTATGGGCATGGGATAAAACATGGGGAACCATCATGCTGGGAAGCCTTCAGGGGAAAAAAGAAAGTTCAACAAACACTCGACTCTGGTCGTGTTCTTTTTCCTCAATTTGCGATGTTCGACGCAGTATAAGGAGTCTTGTAGCACCGGAGGCGCATTATATATGGGCTGTTCTGTCTTCGGAAAGGAATGATCTGGTGAGGTCCGCCTCCCTGGCCCGGGAGCCAAAATGGTCGATGTTCCACCAACAAATTGTTGATGGTACGTTGGGGACCCAGAACAAAGTCTGTTCCATTGGAATATTGCCAGATGAGGGAAATATCTTGAGCCGCGAATGTAAGGCCCCAGGTGTTGAAAATGTATTCCACCACGGAGTTAAGGAGGATTTGAACAGTGGTGTGACGTGCTTGTTCTCGGGTGAGCAGTTTTGAGAATGTGAAGAAGGATCGTTGTTCACACTGAAGGAGTTCCGGTTCGAAGGCTCGTGTAGTGATGTCCATGGCGTCTGATTCCATGTCAGCGGCCAATAACCGGAGATCATCAAGCAGGATGATCAGCATAACTCGGCGGTGAAGGTGGACCAGTGCGTCAATGTCCGACTGCATCCGACGTGGTTGAGCCATGTAGCTTATGTCCATATTGGGGACACGGTCGATTGAATGCTGCTGACGGGGCGTGGCCGAAGGGGCACCATCCCTGGAACGGGAGCGGTTTGATCGCATGGTGGGAGGGAACTCTGTTTGAGCCAGGGCTAGAGACAACCAAAGTGACAACCGAAGGGGGAATTAAAATTAACAGAGCTGAATGGGTGAGAAAAGTGTTGTGGACAAAGGTAATGAACAGCGCGGCACTTTTGTTCCTGTCGGTTGGTCTCGAGTCAGATCAAGGTAGATAACAGGGATGTGGAAGTGCCTTGTGACACTACATCCGCATGACATATGGACAGGTGGGTCCTGTGAAAGGACGAAGAATGTGGAAAATGGTACTTTCCTGAGACGTCTGCCAATTGGGACGGTTTTCCATGAGCAGAGAGCTGATGGTGCTTTCATTCCGGAGCGCAAAGACATCATTCGTGCGATCCGTCCATCTCAGGTCGATAGATGAGATGGAAACGATGATGCCCCATGTGCTGAACATGTAGTTGACAATGCCGTGAAGGATGTCCTCCACCGTGGTGTGGCGAACTTGGCGTACATTGAGGAGCCGGGAGAATTGGAACATCCCAATCTGTTCAGAGTAATCAAGGTTGTGGTCAAAATCTCGGGTAGTGACTTCCATAGCATCGTTCCCCAGGGATGTGAGGATTTCCCGAGTGGGATCGAGATCCACGAGGAGCAGAACACGACGACGAATGCTAGGAGGTTGTTGTACTCTTGGTGGCGGAGGGCGTGGTCCGAGAACGTTCACGGAACATGGTGCCAAGGAGCGAAGGTTCAAATAATGGGCCAAACGGCTGCAGGGGACTGGGGATGCAAAGGTTTTATGGATGGGGTAATTACATGTGGGTCAAAAAAAAATAAAACTCTTCTCAAGCAGCGTAACATGATGCGAGTCTTTTTCGGCGCCAGGGGTTTTGCTCACTCTGGGTCTTCCGCCTCTGGTTCAGGACGGGGTGGTTGGATTGTGGTTTTAATAGCAGCCCAGCGCAGTCTGCATACTTCAGGATTTCGATTCAATCTTGCGCCGATCGTCTTCCACGACGGTCTAGACTTGGTGTCAGTCTTGTAGGCCGCAAGTTCGCGATCTTCCGCGTCCGTCCATGGTTTGAAGGGGATAGGCATTCCTTCCCCTGGGACGTCCGGTGGGACGGTTCCCCGGGTCTTTGTGGAGATGAGAATCTCCGGGCCAAGATTAGGAGCCGTGTTTGGTGGAGATGCCGAACGAATGGCCGGATGGGTGTGGGTAGCAAGGTTGGCAAGAGCCTCTCTTTCTTCCCTCCGTTGGCGGCTGCGAGCGAGAACAATGGAGACTGCCCTGGCTGGATTGGGCAAGGTGTCAGGGATCCCAGGGTGGGGACCATCCTCGTGGTCAGAGGAGTCCGTGGCAGACGAATCTGCTGGTGTACGAATTGAAGGGAGGGTAGGTGGTGGATGTTCCATGGATAAGGTTGCAGGAGTTGTTGTGTTGGTTTTTGGCATGGGAGTATCCATGGGTCGAGATGAAATGCTTGGTGGTTTTGGTTGTGGTGGAAGGATGACAAGGCCTGTCTCATGTGGCCCCTCCGTGCGCGGTCGTTTGTTCGGACGCTCGTCCATTGTCCGCCCTTGAGGTGTCAGCTGATCCTCATTGGAGACGGATGTGTGGTGGATCGGTAGGAAGGCTGGTGTTGAAGCGGTCCCGGTATCGGGTTCAAATGTTCGTGGCGACATAGTGCTGGAAATGGGTCGAAAGTGCGGGACTGGATTGGGGACCATTTGACGTGGAAGATCCCCATGGGTCGCTAGTGTGGGGTATGGTGAGTGAAGATGTGGATGAAGCCTGGATGTGGATGGTCGCCCATAGCGAAGAGTGTATGGAGTGGGCTCATGGGTCCGTGAAGGAGCCATGTGTGCGTCTTCCCAGTCGACTGCTGGTTCAAAGAAGGGAAGAAAGCCCGCGAGACTATTCAGGTGCATGATGGCACGTGCTAGATGATGATGGATTTCCGATCCGTGGGCGGGATCCATGGCAGTGCGGGAATGGGGGTGCAATGGGAAACAGGGGATACGATCAGGATTGATGTAAAATAGCTGCGGTGGACAAACTTAATTGCTGAAATTAAACCATGAGAGGGAACCACATGGGGAATTTCATCAATAGGTCATTTCACCTGTAGACTGCACTGTCAGGACGGTTTTTTACTCCTGGTTGGTGCGCAATTGGATCTGTGAAGATAAGGACAGGAGTTCCTGTCTGTTGAAACCTGCCATAGAATACAAGTCTACCAACTGGTCCAGGCCTTGTTGGACACGATGTGCCGGGAAGGCCCCTTTGGCAACGATATGACATCGAGATCTGAAACCACTAAGGAGGACTTTTGGAGGAGACGCTGAGTATGGTGACATTACCTGGGAAATGTTGGTGGGACCACTGTAGATGAGCTCCAATGGGCGGGTTTCGAGCATGAACCCCAGAAATTCTTGGTCTGGTTCTGTTTCCAACAGGATGGGTCGACCATAGAAGCCTTCGTCCAAGAGTGTTTCATATGGCTCAAGGTTTTGAAGGCGGGCATCGCCAAAAATCAAGCGGTTGTCAACGTATCGAAGGTGGCGGATGAATAAGTTGTGATTGGACAGAGTGTTTTTGTATGTGATAGACCAAATTTGTTCGCTGATTGAGACCACCATCAAGCAAAGGGCCGGAGAGAGAGGGCTGCCCATGGGGCTGCCTCGTTGTTGTTTGACACACTTATGCCCCAATGCAAAGGTTTGCATATTGAGGGCTGTGCGAAGTAGTGAAGGAACGGTTTTGATGATGATTTTTCTGGTGACATTGAGTTTTCGAAAGGTACGACCTTTGATGAGATCACCAGGGTTGTTGGTGGTGCCTGGATACACCGAGAAGACTTCATTGTCTGCCACGTTCATGTGTGGTTGTAGGAAGTCCAGGAGCATGTACCACGCGCCAATGAATCGATTTTGATCGGTGCTGGTGAAGAAGCCTGCCAGGTCTTGGTTGTAGAGTACCAAGTCTCCATGGATGGGAGCTTCCCGCAGGATCTTGAGGAGATCGTACACATCCCCTGATGCAAAGTGGTCCGGGCATGCCACTGGGATGAGTTGGAAAATCAGACGGGCCAGAATGTTCAACATGGGCCGGAACGGTGCTTCAACGAAGGAAATGATAGGCCGTCCCGTCTGGTATGCCTTCTTCTTCTTTGGCAAGATATATCCTGTGGGCATGGTACGGCCTTTTCCAATGGCCCACGGATATTGGTGGCCGTGTGTAGAGGAAAGGTGGCTGACAAGAGAGTCGATCAAAGTTTCCGGTGTATCTTGGACGGGATGGAAAATAGAGGAGTCAGTGAAGGTTTGGGTAATTGCTTGGTGGTACAAGCAGGGGCAGAACACACGCAAGGAAGAGGAGTGTTTATCTTCACAATGGTAGATGGCTCCTTCGAAGTGTGACTGGAACTGGGAGATGGAGGATTTTGTAATGTGATGAGTGATGTGTTCCGAATGGTGTTGCCATAACTGAGCTCCCAGTTGATTGACGGCCTGGCGCGGGATTGTGGGTAATCCGTCGCGTCGGCTCCAAAATTGAATTCCCTGATGGAGTTGTTGCATGAAATCTTTCTTGGAGGGGAACACTTTGTTGAGGAGAGACCCTTCCGCGATGACCCCTAAAGAGGGGGGTAGCATGGGGGCAAGCAGATGGCCTGCCAAAACCCAATGCTCGTCATTGGGGTTGAGAGCTGCCTCGCGATATTGTGACCAATGGGCACAGCAGCATTGTGGGGAAGAGTCCTTTGACCATTCGACAACGGCCTGCTTGTGGTTGCAGAGCTGATCAAGGACGGCAGAATGCTTGACAAACACCGATTTGAATGATGGTGGATGGCATGGGACCTGAAACTGAAGGAACTGAAGGTGCCAGTGTCGTAAGAATTGCCGAAGCCAGTTCGACATGTTGGGGCATAAGCACCATGGGGCCCGGAGTGGAGAGGCCTTGGGTGCTGGTTTTCCCTTCCACCAATGAATGGTGTTGTCGATGGCCTGTAGCGAAAGTGTGCGAAACGGTTCCTGGATATTGTTGGCCAGCCGTCTGAGGGCATAACACACCGAGAGGCCACCTTCAGAGGATCGAAGCATCCTGGTTTGTTCAAATCGTGCCTTGGTGTTTGAACCCAAAGCGTGAATGATGGTCCATAGTTCCAGCCGGTTTTGGAACCGATCAGAGTTGAGGATGTCTTTGATGATTTTGGGAGTGAATTTGTGTTTCGCCCGACGCCACAGTGTGGCTGTCCCGAATTGGGCGCTACTCTTAAGCGGAGGTCTCGTCAAGAGGCCTTTCTTGGGATGGAAGATTTGACAAATGAAAGGGTAGTTGAGTCGTGGTTGCCACTCCTGGATAAGAGACATCTCCAGGCTGCGGTAGTCCGGTCGTTCTGTGAAGATAGGGATTGGTGTCCAAGCGAACAGATTGTCCTGTTCCCGCCAGTATCTCAGTGCCAATTCTGCATGAACCAGGCGCTCATTGGTGAGCTGGGAGAATTTTCTGGCGCGACTGTATTCGCGGTCCAGAGTGTGGTGCATAGCAGAGCCAATGTAGAATTTTGGCTGAAGATTGCTGATGTGGGTGAAACGAATGTACACACTGTGGGACTGGAAAAAGGGTTGTGCATATAGGTTATGCGCACTGAGAGTGGAGCCCCATAGGTGATTGATGTTGGTGCAACCTTCCAAAATTGATTTCAACTTCTGATTTGGCCGCAGTCCGTGGAGGACGTGGAGTACCATCATTCTGGTTTGGATGATACGGAAGCCTTGAAAAAGGGACAAAGTTGAAGCCATGGTGAAGGGAGTCAAAATATAGACGATGAGGATCATCGAATGAAGAGCCTGCAGGTGGGATTGAAGCACCTTGTGCTTGAGTTTTCGACGTAGCTGGGGAGCTAGTCAATTAGTGAGGGTGATTGCTGCAGTCATGACACGAAGAAGGTTGAGAACCTCATAGTTCTTGCCCAGTAAATTTACTGGGATGCCCATCATGACGGCCACCCTCTCGATCTGGTGGATCGCATCGGCAGGTTGTTTGTCCCACCATTTTTCCATCTTCTCCATATTGGTGGTGAGGACCGATCTTTTTGGTTCTGAAATAGGGAGATCTCTGAGCCACTTGTTGAAGGCTCGGACTGCCAGGGTGTCTGGTCGATGATCTAGCAGCCATTGATTGGTGGTGGATGGGACCGTGAGCAAGCAACATGGGTCAAACATGGGGTTAGGGTTATTGGTTGATGGGGATTGGGAAGATTGGCCGTGAAGGGCTCGGGCAATAGGTGACGTGGGGCCAGGGGTTGACGTGTTTGGGGAAGCGTCCGGCGCAGCGATTTGCTGACGAAGTTGTGCGGCTTGATGCCGCAACTGTGTGATTTCTTGTTGTGACTCAGGGTCTGTGGCTCGAGCAGGAAGCCATCCCTGAATGATTTCAGCGATTTGCTGAGCGGCATACTTGGTGTTCATCGTTTTGTCCAACACCTTTCCATCCTGTCGAGCCCTGTAGTTGGAGACCCGGTCCAGGTCGACCCCTCTTGCCTTGAGCTGTTGGAGCAGCTCCGTCATGAAAACAACCGCAGCGATATCCGCTGTGGGGATCAAGTATAGCTCTCTGCCGTGGGCCAGGCGTCTCAGCCAATGGTTGTTGGCCTGCTGATACAGTAGAGCCGCCACCGGTAGGGACAAAGGGTCACATCCCTCAATGTCCAGCTTTTGGGTGAAGGCCGAAGGCCGAATGCTCCGAGGAAAAGTGAGGCCATTGATCTTTTGATTGTCGTAGTGGTCCTTGTCTGGTTGCCAGCTGGTGTTGAGATCGAAACCGTATACCCGTGGGGCATCATGGCTCTGTGGTGCTGGACTGGATTGCATGGGTGACGAACCTGTTGATCTTGGCTGAGATGGGGAAAAGGAGTGCATGGTTGTGTTGGAGGGCACTGGGACATCTGGGGGATTGAGGGTCGTGGGTAAAGGGCAGTGGAACGTGGTGTGGATGGTGGTGTTGGAGGAAATTACCCATGATGGTGTCATGCAACAAGGTCCACATAAGGTCCGGACTGGGTTGGCATCCAAGGTGCCATCTGGGGTCCACGCATGTTCATTGAGGCTCGCACTGCTGCTCCCATTGGGCCGCGCCATCGAGGAAAGCCTGGTAGCTGAACAGGAGGTCGTGCGCTTCGCTGGTCAGGACGGTTTCGAGCATGCACAGGAGATCGGGATCGATCAGAATCGGCCATATCTGCACCAGAGCGAATCGTGTGTTCCTGAATAGCAGGGGAGTTGAGCCAAGCTGGACCAAACGTCACACCTGAAGAATCACAATTTTGGCAAGGGGTCACAGAGGGCATTGTGGTTACACATTAAGTGGCACAATCAAAGTTAGTAAAAAGCAAAGTCACGTGAGCAAACCAAAAAAGAAAACCGTTCAGAAACCCTTCCACGTTTCGATCTCCAAGCAATCTTTTTTGAAAGATTTGTGTCCAGGGCATCCCTAGAAAAGCACCACCGGTTTCCGGTGAGAAGAAATTATGTATACACCTGAAAAGACAGCGACTCATTGGTTGTTGGCCGACCAATCTGGTTCTGACGCGTCCGGTTCACGATCTTGGTGGCGTCGGTAGTACTCGCTGCGCCGATAATAGTCTCCATGCTCGTCAGACGATTCCTCATATTCCACTGGGGAGTGATGATGCCACCTAAAGGCCGCGAAATGAACTCCAACATGGTTGCTGTGAGCAATCGTGTACTTCTCTGACGTGGTCACGATGCCAACTTTTGACACTTGGACCTGACATTTTTCGTTGCCACCTGCCTGATACCTTGTGTGTGCCATTGCTCCTTGGTACATCGCTCCAATGAGCATCCTTTGCTGTCCTTTCCCTTTCAAGTTCGCCTGAGACAGGAGTTCCACTACGGCCCAATCTGGGAAAGTTAAAGCATTCCCGGCCAAGATAATATGCTCCAAAGGTGGGCAACTCACACCTGGCCAAGTCGGCATTCCTTGTCCAGTTTGCCGGTCGAATTTTGCCCTCACTAAGGATCCCCTGAGCTCCTTCTACCGTCGTGCCATGGACCAGAGCCCAGGTATGGGTGGCCTGTTTCTTGAAGGGTTCAGGTTGTGGGAAGCGGGAAAGACCATCGACCTTGATGAGCAATGCTTTGTGTGAGGTCTTTGGGATCTCAAGAATCTTGAGCATATCTGCATTGATTTCCGTGTGAAGTTGCACCGACCCCATGACGGCAGCAGCTTCCTGAATCACCCAATCTGGAATAGAATCGTCAAATTCCTTTAGAAGGTCACAAAATGCCTGGTGTTCATCCTCATCCACTAATCTGTGGATTACGGGACGTTCGCTGTCGGTGAGCTCATTGAAGGCCCGCATCCGATATGGATGATCAAGGCAGTATTTCACATCAGCAATCCACTCTTGTTTGGTGGTGTCCTTCACCGACAGTCGGACCATGCCCGCTGGGACCGATGTGGAAGCTGTTGATCGTGCGTCCCATGTTGAGGCTTTCTTGGATTTGGTGGGTTGGGAGAATTCAGTGAGTGGACGTGAGGTGGACCTGCGTGACTTTGGACGGTGGACCGAGTGACGGGGAGGGTCCGAGTGAGGTTTCCAGGATTTCTTCTTCCGAGACTGGGGAGGATTCGGATCTTTCCAGGTGCCCCAAGAGTCCCATTCATCATCATTGTACTGGTCGGAGGAGGACCAGTGTTGGGAATGGGAGTGCCATGACGAGTGGCCAACAGAATCATCGTAGCCTTGGTGGTGGTACGACGGAGGATGGTCTGGCTCTGGCGGTGGTTCTGACCTAACTGGCTTACGATGTCCATGCTGGGAGCGAGAACGGCTGTCGCGGCCAGATTTGTGGCCACGTCGAGATGCTGAGCGCAGTCTCACATGTCTCTCCCTGGAACGGGGTGAGTGTGACCTAGAATACCGCCGGTGACGTGGCAGTGGATCCCGACGTGGGCTCCTGGGAACAGAGACCGCCCTTTTGTCAGTGTGTCGAGGCGACTTGTCCCGAGAAGGACTGTGTGTTCCTTCCCTCTGACGCTTTTTGTGACTGGTGGCCGGTGGGCCTTTGAATGTGGAAATAGGACGGCGTGGAAGGTGTTGAGATGGATGGAAAGGAGGTGGACGAGGTTGAGGGATAGGGATTGTGAGTCCCTGTGTTTGTAAACTTGCGGGACCTGGAGGAGGTGGTGAATGGGCGGCAAGAGGGTGAGTCCCACATTGTTGATTGGTCGGGATGGTACCCGGCGCGGCGAATGGCTGGTGTGGTGCGTGCTATGAGGCAACGTTGGACAGGCAGCTGGAAGTCTTTCCTCATTTTGAGGATCTGGCATGGCCATCTGTTGGGGATGGACTGTAGCAGGTGGCTGAGGGTGGTGACGCTCAGCATTGGATTCTGCAACTGCCTTGAACCCAGCTTGGAGTGTTTTGGTGACTTTCTCGAAGAGCTCCTGCGTGTCTGGGGAATGGTGACTGGTATCCTGGGTCGCTGTGGAAGGGGGTTGTGATGGAGTGGGAGTGGGTGATGGGCATGGAGTCGGAGTTGACAGTGGTGGATTGGACTGAGATGGTGAGGTGGATGAGGGTTGGGGGTTAGGTGGACGTGGAGAGGATTGATTGGCCTGAAGTTGCTGAAGGTGGTGAAGGTGGGTCATATATTGGGCTTGGATATTTTGGTGAAGGAGAGCATTCTGTTGGTTAAGGGCATTCTGGATCTGAGCCTGAGACTGTGACGTCATAGGGTCCGGACCACAAAACTGAGCCTGGGGACTGGGCATCATTGGTGTCGCCATCTGTGGTGTCTGCATCATCGAGCTCCAGGCAGCATCTGTTGAAGGTTGCTGAGACGGCCAGGCACGGGAACTCCAGAATGGAAACATGTTGGGCGCAGGAGGTCAGGTGAGAGTTACAAAATTAAACCAAAACCGTTTTCAATTGACGCATCCACACATAAGTGCATTGTTCGTGGTAAGGCTCGAGGCCCTCTGTCGTCAGATCAACCCTATGGACGGCTTAAGCAGTCAACCCCTGAATTACGTGCACAATTGAACCTCACCAGATCAACCAAAAAAGAAGTGACCACACCTGTAAAGCATGTCCTGGTGCCTTGACTTTCGTATGAAAATGGCTGCAGGCAGTCTCTCCAGTGTCACTGAAATGGAAGTGTTGTCGCGGCTGCAAGCTACAACCCTGCGCAGACGGTCTCTCTGGATGAAAGGTGATCCCACGAACAGCGGGCAGTTGTTCAACATACACTCGACCGACAGGGTGAGACCCTGAAAAAAGGCCAGCTTCTTCACTTTACTTAAACGAATTACTAGGTTGAAAACTGTAAATTCCAAGGTCAGGTCGAAAATTGACTTTCCTGCTTAGAGAAGCATTCCCCGAAAAACTCATGTCATCATGTCGAATCCGACATGAGTCACACACTTGCTCAGAACTGGCTTATCGAATTATTTGTGGGGAATGCGTCTTACGTGCAAAACAAATCCTTATCACCTGACAAGGCCCGCGACATGTTCCTGAATGACAGATTGCGAAAACCGAACAGGCACTGAAACTGACATCGAAAAGAGGTTCACAAGTTGACGTTTGGTTGGAAAAATTGTTGGAAAAACGACATGCCGGTTCTTGGCTTAGCCGGTTGCCATTCAGAGAAATGATAGAACCGATGCAGGTACGCAGAGCCGATCAGGCTCTGTATCACCACGAACTGACAGTGTCTTCGTTGGGCAGTGACTGTCAGTCGTGCACTGCCCCCCTGCGTTGATTGTTTTCCAGGCCAAAAAGAAAGTGAACCCAAAAAGAAGTTTTACATCTCTACAGATGTTCCACACACTAGACAAGAATGGATCATTATATGATCCGGCAGGAACTGAATCCTGAAACATGCATGTAAATCTCAACATTGATTAGAAAAAAGCAGGTACGTGCAGTTGATCAGACTGCATATCCTCTCCAAACATCAGTAGCTTCGTTGGCCACGGACTGATGAATGGAGCCGTGGCCCCCTGCATTAAATTTAATTTAGAATTAGAAAGGGAGAGGACAAAGGAAGAAAAAGAGAGAGAAGAAGTTTTACATCTATTCAGATGTTACACACACACACACACCCGGCCGGAGCCGGGTCAACCCTGAAAGGCAAGAGGAAGAAAAAAGCGGACACACGAAGGGCAAACGGCCAAAAACAGCGCAGGGGGGGAGGGGAACAGACGGACCTCCAGAACCAACCTACACGGCGAAACGGACCTGACAAAAACAGCGCACACACCTAAACCCCACGACACATTACGGAGAAGCACGCGGGGAGAATTAGGGACCAAATGGGGGACTAGTTGATGACAAACAAAACCAAAACAAGTAGTTAACAAACAGGACTCAGCTCCTAGACCTACTGTTCGTGCAATTGTGCCACAACAGGCCCGATGTCAGGTCGTGCCCCGATGGCATAAACAGCTTCCAAGTTCCAACGAATTAGATGCACAACATGTTTCACCTCACCAGACAACCATCAAAAGAAAGGATCACCACACCTGAAAGTCGTGTGCCTGCCTGATTTCTCTGTCATGATTTGATGCAACGGTGTTGCGAAGCAGCTGCGAAAAAAAGGTTTGCGAAGTTCAGCACGGCTTCACTTGAAAGAACAGATCACTGGGATCCCTGGGACAATAGGAGCGGCGGGACACTCGAAAAGGCTGATAAACCGCAAGGCCGATTGTTGCCCTTTACTTAAACGAATTACTAGATTAAAATGTGTAAATTCAAAGGTCAGGACAGTCATCACTCACCCTAAAGAGGGTTGCCTCCAATGGCTCCATGGCACCATGTCGGAGCCACCATGGAAATCACACTAGACAAGAATGGATCATTATATGATCCGGCAGGAACTGAATCCTGAAACATGCATGTAAATCTCAACATTGATTAGAAAAAAGCAGGTACGTGCAGTTGATCAGACTGCATATCCTCTCCAAACATCAGTAGCTTCGTTGGCCACGGACTGATGAATGGAGCCGTGGCCCCCTGCATTAAATTTAATTTAGAATTAGAAAGGGAGAGGACAAAGGAAGAAAAAGAGAGAGAAGAAGTTTTACATCTATTCAGATGTTACACACACACACACACTTGCTCAGAACTGTCTTATCGAACTTTATTGTGGAATGCATCTTACGTGCAAAACAACTTCAGTAAAACCTGACAGGAGTGGGTCAATGATACGACCCGAGAAATGTGCAACATGTTCCCTGTGAACAGATTGCGAAAACCGTACAGGCACTGAAATGACATGGAACGGAAAACTGAAAGTTTGGTTTGGTTTTACACAGTTTGAAATACAAATCGGCACGGTGGTTCTTGGGTTAGCCACGTCCCATTGCAGAAAAATTGAAGTGATGAAGCAGGTACGTCACGGTGATCGGCCGTGATATCCTAAGGACACCATAGAGAGCTTCGTTGGGCACAGCTCTATGGGCCTTCTGTGCCCCCCTTCTGTTACAATTGTCAGGTTCGCGAGAAACCAAAACCAAAAGTAAAACATCATAAACCAGGAGACCCGAGAGGGAAGTACCCTCAAAAACAAGGATCAACGACGCTAGCAGGTAGAAGTTTTACATCTATTCAGATGTTCCACACACACCCTCCGGTAGGAGGGTGGGAAAATTAAGGCCCGGACAGTGAGATGAAAATGAATAAGAGAGGAAATGAAGATGAGGTGAAGATGAAAATGAGATGAAAGTTACTTAACCAGGACGCGAAGAGGGGAACGCAAAAGAAGAGGGAAGGAGAAAACACCAACACAATGAAACCTGGCCCAAGACGGGCAAACCCTGAAAAGGCAAGAGAAAAGAAAAACGGAGGCAGACGGACACGGAACAAGACCAGCAGAGGGGGGGGAGGACGGACGCGCCTCAACCAACCTACCACAGCGAAACCTACGCCTACCTAAGCACGCACAGAACCCAACCTACCTGTAGAGAGGAGAACGCAGGAACACATGAAATAGGGGACCCATGGGGGACTAGTTAGTGAAAAGATGCATCCACAGTCCACGCATGATTCGTGATCAGGCTCAAGGCCCTCTGTCGTCGGTTCAACCCTATGGACAGCTGAAGTGGTCAACCCTTGAATTACATGCACAATTTAAACTTCACCAACGACCATAAAAAAGAAAAACGCCATACCTGCAAGCATGTCCTATTACCTGCTCATGTGAAAATGGCTGCAGACAGTCTCTCAGTTGAAAGCTGCAAAAGGAGTTGTTGGCGCAGCTTCAGGCTACAAACCCTTGCATCACTGGAAAGTGGTGAAGCCAATCACAGCGGCCAGTTGTTCAACAATTCGACATCGACAGGGTGAAAAATGAAATAAGGCCAGCTGCTCACTTTACTTAAACGAATTACTAGGTTGTAAATTGTAAATTCGGAGATCAGATTATGGCGTTCAAGTCCTGCTTAGAAAAGCATTCCCCGAGGGGCTCACAACATCATGTCGAAAGGCGTTGTGAGTGACACACTTGCTCAGAACTGTCTTATCGAATTTTGTTGTGGAATGCATCTTATGTGCAAAACACACTTCAGTAAAACCTGACAGGAGTGGGTCAATGATACGACCCGAGAAATGTGCAACATGTTCCCTGTGAACAGATTGCGAAAACCGTACAGGCACTGAAATGACATGGAACGGAAAACTGAAAGTTTGGTTTGGTTTTACACAGTTTGAAATACAAATCGGCACGGTGGTTCTTGGGTTAGCCACGTCCCATTGCAGAAAAATTGAAATGATGAAGCAGGTACGTCACGGTGATCGGCCGTGATATCCT